CTTAACTACAGCATTAGTTATATTGGCTGGTGCGAAACGGTCTGATAGTCGTACCCTTTACCGAAACTTAGATAACATTGCTGAAAACATTTTTAATATTTAGTTCCTTGACTTCTCGTGGCGCGTTAACATTCTTGTTATGGCTGACTTTTTCAGACTCGCGCAACGGACTTCGCCGAAAAGGGGGGCTTGCTCGCAGTCCACTTGTTGAAACCTTTTTCTCAGTTTATCTTATAGCATAGATATTATAAACAATACTTAGTCTCTTGTGTGCAGATATTGCGGATGAAATACCAGGACTTCTTCAGTTTCGAAAACATAAAATCTTCACAAAATCATACTGACATTTTTGTACATTTTTAAACACAGCAATGTTTTTCTCAGGCTCGTAGTTTTGGATCATATTTCTTGCACTGGATAAGAACCTTTTATACAGATATGTCAAGATGAACTATGAATAACGGTTTCATTACAAATTCTCTTTTGTACAAAGCATAGGGTTCGTCGTGATCTCTCGCATCTTTGTTTTTTATCTTGGGCTTGAGAGTTCTCGCGTGTCAAGTTACACAAGATAGCAGTATAGAAGGAATAAGAATTTAACTGCATTCGCTGTCGATATAACCTGTTTTTCAAATATATACGCGCTCGTATGTGCGTCTAGAGGCATATTTGAGATTTTCTGGTAAACAATGTTAAAAAAAAAAAAAAAAATTGAAGCAGCGGTGAAAGGATATTTATCTCTAGCATGTGAAGAATTCACTTCCAAAGTGAGGCTTGCTGCAAATTGACCAATCACCGTCGAGATTTTTGGGCACTTCAGCCTTGATCGGCATACGTGTATGCGTTAATTTTTGTAGTCACTCATTGTAAACGGGTTGAGGAAAGAAAACTAGAAGCCAATCGATTCTTCGTAACAACTACTATTTTGTAGAACTCTATTCCAGCATATAATCCATAGGGATTTTCACGCGGCTTGCATAGGAAGATAATGGCCGACCCTGGGGATTGTAGGAAGTAAGTAATGATTGTCAATGTTTTGATTGAATTATTTCGTCACAGCGAGTTCTCATTTGCGGCTAACGTTATGTCTTGAACTTAGGAGAGATTGTTAGTTGTGTGGGAAATCACAGATTAAATGGGTTTCCCATTCGGAGTTGACTCGACTCAGCTCTGTTCTGTTATCGTGCAGTGGACTTGAGGTGTTGAATATTGCGGAAAAACTCTATGCAAACGCACTTTCACTTAGATTGACTTGGAAATGAGTTACCACATAAGAAAGAAAACTTTGTTGAGGTCTTATATTCTTTTAAAATTAATGCTCATAAAGAAATCCTGGCCTTAGTTCTAAACGCGTTTTTTCTTTCGGTCCTGATTTAGCGAAGGTGGTTTTAAAACATGTTTGAGCAAAATTTCCTCTTTGCCCCTCACTCAATTTGCACACTTTTCTTTGAGAAGAAACAAGAAACAATAGCAACGCTATTAATGACTTCCCGGGGTACTACGGCTCTTTTTGTGGTTTTTGATTCGTTCCTTTTATCACGTTCTCATGAGTGGCTCACAAATTAAATTCTGAGACGATGTCATTTTAACAAAGCGATGAAGTTGTTTTCGTAATCATTAATAGTTGGTTTTTATTTATTTATTTTTATAAGATGATCATTGCATGTTAGTTGCAACAGAAACTGTAGAAGTCACTTTGAACACACTGCTTTATTGAATTCAACAGCTCCGTTTATATAGAGATGCGTGAGAGTCTAGAACATCTAATGCATAAATCAGCTAGCATAGCCTGCAGGAATGCCCTCATCGTGAACGCTTCGGCTTGTGTATTTCTTCGTCCGCGGGAAAGAAAATCTTGAGCAGCGCTAGTTAGCGAGAGGTCTGTGGTGACAATGTTTGACTAAGCGCACCACTCAAACATAACAAAATAAACAAAAAAAGGATCAATATTAGCAGCTGGGAACAGACCCTTTTATAAAACAAGCGTATAATATAATCTTTCAAGTAACTTTTAATCCCAAAATAAAAGTAGCGAGATCAAAGTAGCAAAATCAAAGAGCGAGATTTTGTACATTAAGTGGTAAATTATGGCATAAAGTGGCGTTGTTTGTAATACTCCTAGTCCGTAGAACCTGTATCAAGCGGTCATCTCGCCATTCCACGCGAGTGACCGCTAAATACAGGTTCGACTGTACACTTTACTAAAGCATTAGTTATATTTGCTGGTGCGAAACGGTCTGATGGTCATATCCTTTACCGAAACTTAGATAACATTGCTGAAAACATTTTAAATATTTAGTTCCTTGACTTCTCGTGGCGCGCTAACATTCATGTTTTGGCTGACTTTTTCAGACTCGCGCAACGGACTTCGCCGAAAAGGGATGCTTGCTCGCAGTCCACTTGTTGAAACCTTTTTCCCAGTTTATCTTATAGCATAGATATTATAAACAATACTTAGTCTCTTGTGTGCAGATATTGCGGATGAAATACCAGGACTTCTTCAGTTTCGAAAACATAAAATCTTCACAAAATCATACTGATATTTTTTTTCTTACCACATAAGAAAGAAAACTTTGTTGAGGTCTTATATTCTTTTAAAATTAATTCTCATAAAGAAATCCTGGCCTTAGTTCTAAACGCGTTTTTTCTTTCGGTCCTGATTTAGCGAAGGTGGTTTTAAAACATGTTTGAGCAAAATTTCCTCTTTGCCCCTCACTCAATATGCACACTTTTCTTTGAGAAGAAACAAGAAACAATAGCAACGCTATTGATGACTTCCTGGGGGACTACGGTTCTGTTTGTGGTTTTTGATTCGTTCCTTTTATCACGTTCTCATGAGTGGCTCACAAATTAAATTCTGAGACGATGTCATTTTAACAAAGCGATGAAGTTGTTTTCGTAATCATTAATAGTTGTTTTTATTTATTTATTTATTTTTATAAGAGGATCATTGCATTTTAGTTGCAACAGAAACTGTAGAAGTCACTTTGAACACACTGCTTTATTGAATTCAACAGCTCCGTTTATATAGAGATGCGTGAGAGTCTAGAACATCTAATGCATAAATCAGCTAGCATAGCCTGCAGGAATGCCCTCATCGTGAACGCTTCGGCTTGTGTGTTTCTTCGCCCGCGGGAAAGAAAATCTTGAGCAGCGCTAATTAGCGAGAGGTCTGTGGTGATAATGTTGACTAAACGCACCACTTAAACAAACACTCACATGAACATCAGTCCACTTGTTGAAACCTTTTTCGCGGTTTATCGTATAGTAAGATATTATAAACAATACTTAGTCTCTTGTGTACAGATATTGCGGATGAAATACCAGGATTTCTTCAGTTTCGAGAACATAAAATCTTCACCAAATCATACTGACATTTTTGTACATTTTTAAACAGTAATGTTTTTATCAGGCTCGTAGTTATGTGCATTCAGTCGTTTTTGCAAGTTTCATTATTTGTTGTTCTACAAAGCCTGGTTTTCACTAGCGACGCAAGCATAAGCGCAAGCACAAATGTAGGCATAAGAGCCCTTATTTCACCATGAAAACGACCTCGATGCAAGCATACAAACAAGTGCATGCCTTTTCTTTTACTAGTGCTTGTGCTCGTCGACGTTCCTTTTCACTTGGTATATTTTACTTATAAGTGTGTTTGTGCTCACGCTTGGACTTGATAATTATAATAATAACAATAATATTTATTATTTGTAACGCGCATTTTACATGTGCATATGATCAAATGCGTGGTTAAAAAAATATAATAAAAATAAATAGAAATATAAATGTTAGATAAAAATTAGATACTAGGCCCTGCATCAAAATATACAAAACGATAGAATAATATAAACAACACAGAGCAAAAATTTATAAAAGTGAATAAAAACTTTAAAACTAACTATCAATTATGAAAATTTAATTAAGGTATATTTGCATTTCTAATTGAACCAGGAAAACCATTCCAGAGTTTAGGAGCTGCACTGGCAAAAGCCTTATCACCTAAAGTTTTCTTCGCTCCAGTGGTTAATGGTTGTAATAAAAGCTCATAATTAGAGCGCAAACTATAATTCAAAGGCTTTATTATCTAAATAAGACCAGATATGTCATTAGGAGCAAGGCCATTAATAGTTTTAAAAGTAATGACTAAAATTTTGAGATTAATTCCAATTTAACTGGCAACCAGTGCAAAGGACCTAAAACTGGTGCTATATGACAGAATCTAGGAACAATGAAAACTAACCTGGCCATTGTATTTTGAACTCTTTGCAGCTTATTTATGTGCTTTAGATCTGATTCACTAGAGGAAGTGGAGCTGTCAAAAATTCCTGAAGAACGATTGGTAAGAGTTGACCGTGGGCCTGTGGCTTCCGAGTCTGTGAGGAGGCCATCACCAGAACTTGATAGCGTGCCTTCCGAAGTAACACGCGTTGATCAGGATCAGGTCGAGGGTGAAATTCCTGCTGTTTTTGGTATGTATGATCACAGACAGTCTTACAGGGATTGGTGGCCTTTATGATAAAGTTCCTTGATTCATTATTGAACTACCCATTACAGAATTTTGTAGATGCAGTCAATTTGGTTTGTCTTGAATATGAAAGATATTATCTAAACGATTGGGTTGGGATAGTGATGAGGATAATCACCAAATAGGCTGTTTTGCCTCCGCCTCAACAAATATAGTGTACAGTTTGACAACTGTTGCGATTATTTTTCGGACTAAGCTTATTTGTTGCGATGTTGACTCGTCTGTGTCTGTCCTTTGATAGATGATAAGAATAATTAATCCAAATGCGTGTACGACTAAGTGTATTCCTACTTATAGATGAACAATGGCGTCAAAATTTGTTTAAAAAAAAAACAAAAATTAAACATCAGCGACATACGCAGGCGCCTTTACTTTATGTGTTACCTTTTTTTCGTTCTACATATTTTGACGTCACTCATGATCAACCTTTGAAAAAAAATGTGGCAAAATTTGATATAAATTTCCTTTCTATCACCTATTTATAGAACCAGAGGACGAGCATGGGGGTATTGATGCTTCTAATAAACAATATCAACATGAAGGTAAGTGAAAGAGGGCGTCAAGGGAGACACAAACTCAAGACGCAAATAAACAGACTCCTAAAAAATTGGTGTAATTGTGTTAATGAGTCAACATGCATTCATTTCGTTTATTCAAAGTTTATTCCTTCCCCGAAGACTGTTCATCACACGAGGAACGAGGGCTACATTGAGAGGGTGGTGAAATTCAAACTTACTTCTTTTTTCGGTGGTTGTTTAAATTGAAAAATGTCCATACTTGTGAATCATTCTTGTGTGTATCTGATTGTTTTACAGTGATAGAGAAGGATCTGGATGATGTTCTGCGTAAGGGTGATTTCGATGCGATTGATCAAACAGTGACTCCAAAAACCCTGGCAAGGTGTAAAACTAATACCTTATTCAAATCTTTCCAGGTTGGTCTTGTAACTTTATCTCTACCTATTTTACCGCCATAATTTACTCAGGGCTGTTTAGCCAGACCAAGTGACAAAAGTGATCCTAATCACATAGATTTTGTTTCACTTCTCCATATGATTAGTTCGTCATGCGCATACCGCTCTCTCTACTAATTAGCGTCAAAACTACAACCAATTGTTACTTGTTCACTGACTGAGAGTGTACTTGTAACCTTGAAGTATCACTGACCTGCAATTATATCTTGTTTTCTTTCTTATTGGTCATCGAGGTTTCAGTGTACTAGTTTTCAAAGGACAATTGAAAAACCCTCCTGCCATCTTCAACAACTGGAGGCTAATAAGAAATCAGAAACAACATCATTGATTAAGAAAGATGTTTTTTCGTCTTGTCATGAGCGTGGGACAAAAAAAAATTCTGAGTCCCCATGAGGAATCGAACCTCAGACCTTCGGACTTGCGCCCCGATGCTCTACCACTGAGCCACAAGTACTCTTCGGTGAGCGGGGTCTATTACGAAGTTCTAATGACACGCGTCCTGCATACTGCTAGGATCAGCAATGTCGATAGCGTAATGTTTTTGACAGAAAAGTAGAGATGGTAAGTTTTAAGCTCAGTGAAGAATTAAGAAAGATGTTTTTTCGTCTTGTCACGAGCGTGGGAGAAAGAAAAAATTCTGAGTCACCATGTGGAATCGAACCTTATTTTTTAACGAAAAAACATCTTTCTTAATTCTTCACCGAGCCTAAAACTTACCATCTCTACTTTTCTGTCAACATCATTGATTTTTACGAGCCATGTCATAAAAACGATAACTTCATTTCTTTTTAAACTTAGGTCAACCAAGCACTGCGAGATTTAGCAGATCGTGCAAACCCGGAGAAAGGCGATATAGAAAAGCTTGAAAAATCTATGTGCGAGTTCACATCAGCCTTGATAGATCCCCTTATAGCCAACGCCTATGCCAGATATATATTTCAAAGTTGTTTTGATGATCTGCTGGACGAGGCAATTGACACGAAGCAGAAGAAGGTACTACACGAGTGATAAAAAGGTTTCCAATCAACACTTTATGATATCCTTTACCCCTAAAGTCGATTCTAGTGGGAATGCTCTCGCCCATCTGAACACACGGGTGCCCTTACCCTTACGTGCTATATTGGGGACATTGTTGTCTCTCTTCTTTCCTTACCAATAACCACCAGTGAGGACGCTTTGTGTGCCACATAAAGCCTCCTCACCGGTGGTTATATGGGTGTAATATCGGATATTACAAAGGGGAAAATATATTTTTAAGATTTATGCACACAATGTCACGGTATACTTAGTGCTAATTCAATCACAGGCGGCCCAAGCTCCAGCTGTGAGATGATCATCTTGCGCAATAGCAGTTATGGTGGAATTATAAGACAGGTTTCTAACAGCCTGCGTACGCATCAACCTTGACACACAACCGTTGAAAACCAGCTTGGTAACCCTACCTCCTTTTAAAACTGAATCTCGCTGGGGACCACACCGTAACTTAGCATGAAGAAGTTTTCTTAGCACCACGGGTGCCAAGTTACGGTGTGGTCCTTGGCGAGGCTCAAGTTAAAAAAGGCAGGGTTACCAAGCTAGTTTTCAATAGTCGTGTGTCAAGGTTGATGGGAACGCGAGCTGTTAGAAACCTCTAAACTGGAAATTTTTTTAAGCAAACTGCGGCTTAGCGTCGGTTGCACGTGGAAGATTGAGTTTGTAGTGAATTGAAATGAAACTACAATATATGTGCTTGGATTCTGCATTGGATTTGTGGCCGCCCGGTCATTTTGAGCCGGGAATTTTTGCTTCTCAGATCGGGTGTTTGGAAATGGAGTGATCAGTGTTCAGCCTTGAGCTTTTCCTATGTACGTGGAAAACCTCGAAATGGACAACTCGCTAAAATGGGTTATTTTTATCAAAGAAAGCGGTCAGATAACATGTAATATACCGTGGAAGTAAGGTGAGGTATTTTTATTGAGAATTTGACGTATTTTTTAATTCGTTAAAGCGGTCGGAAATATTCCCATACAAACTCTCATAGTTCCGCCATGACTGTTGATGACTCCATGACTCTTGATTGCGCAAGATGATCATCTCACAACTGGAGCTTGGGCCGCCTGTGATTCAATGTACAGGACGTCATTTTTATGTCTTTCTACTGTATGTACAAAGAAGCAATTAATCAATTTCCAGTGAAAGAAATTTATATTCTAGTGAATCTACTGTAAATGTGACGCCAAACTGAATGATTTAATGATACTGAACATGCCCACCGCCGGGCGCCATAGCTGATCCGGCCAGAAATCTTTCAGACCCTTGATTTAGCAGCTCTATTCTGTTGTAGATCACAGTCGTGACGTCAAAATGTGGCAAGAGCAAAAAGGTGGCACATGAAGCGCGGCTGGGTGTGTCACTGATATGTCGTTAGAATTGTTTTGAATTAAATGAAGCCAAACTTTGTTAACGTCCCCTATGAGGCTCTCCTCTGATAGGTAATAAGCAAAAACCAGTCCAAATTCAGCTCATTGCGTAAAATAATACATCGACGAATTTTTTCGCAGTTCATCTCTCACCCAGTGGTGTATGACTCGTTCAACTCCAGATGGTACCAATCCTTTTTTCACGTAAGAAAAAAATCATGGCGGACACCTCAACGCTGGGGATACTTTTTTCTCAACCTCTGGACAGTGTTTGACATCGTCTTTTTTCCTTTTCTCTTTGCCATTTTCTTCGTCGTGCATTTGATAAAACAGGCCTTGAGGAGGAAAAGAGGTTTGTAACATCGTTTTGCTAGCATTACATGGTAATGCGTTTTCAGCAAGCTTCAAAGTATTCAAAAGGTTTGGGCCTGAGGGGGAGAGGGGTGAGGAGTGGAGGGTGATGGCTTTTCTGTATTTTATTCCTAACTCCATAAAACTGAGTTACCATGTAAACTGAGTCCTCTCAACTGAAACAATACAGGAGTCCTGGCTAAAACTATGCGCGAGGTGCGGGTCACCTATTTCTTCCCTGGCACGTGAAACGCGCTTCGTGCTTGCCTTGTGCTTGCAAAAAACTGCGCCAGTTCTGCAGGATACATCGTTCAAGGAGCGTTCACAGGCCCCGTATTTGTTCCCACCTGATCATAACGGTCTTAAGAATGGTTGGGACCGTTCTAACCAAGTTATGAGATTAGATACAAGCAGCTACTGGGGAGTTGTTGCGGTGCTTTGTATCAGTTGTTGCATGTTTCCTTTATTGATCAGTGGTTTAATCACTTAGCCTCTAATGCTTTCCTCGATCATTTTTCAGAAACTGAAATATGTTTTGTTTTGACGCTGGGCAAAGATACCTCAAAAGAAGAATTTAATCTGATTAAAAAGACGATAAACTACATTATTGGTGAATATGGCTGCCACTCTGCCAAATACTGTGTTGTTTTACATGAAGACCACAAAATTATCAGTAAGATCAAATTTGAAGAGAGCTGCACTACTACGGATGCACTTCGAGCGAGGATTAACCAGTTACAGCTGCCAAACTCTACCAGTTCACTCGATGAAGATCTTAGGGTCACCCGAGATACATTCACAAACCAAACACTTGGAAAGGAGGCCAAAAAGGTGAGGAATACATGCGCGCAACCGTTTTCCCGGCGGAGCGCTGTCAAGTTTTGTCCCTTAACTTGTTCCTATGGGCTCATTTTGCAGTCACGGGCTGGTTATCAGGCCTTGGTAAGTTATACTTACCAATTCATATTCAGTATTGATTGATTTTGAAGACCGCACGCTACAGTTGATTTATGTTTAAAACATAAACACAAATCACGTTTTAGTTGGTGTCACGGCTCATGGGCCAGCCCCTTGTATTTGCCTTCTTGCTGGAGGACTTAGGCTTTCCCCTCGTACTTCAAGCTTTTAAACTCACTGTCACGAATAATCAAGCGTTTATGCTCTTCCTATATTAGATATCAGCATGAGGAAAACATGTCCCACTATTTTCCCTTGGTATCAGTAAAAAGCATGAACCATTTCACGATTGCTATCGGCTCGTAATCTTCCCGTCTTTCAGAAGAACTACTGCGTAAAACTCCTCGGGAATTTTGTTGAAGACCTCCGGTACGTCCGTTTTAAATACAGTTGTTTTTTAAGTCCCAAAACTTCCAAGCTTTTAGCCAGTCGTTTGTGCTTTTTTGGGTATTTTTGTTCTTCAATTCTCCTGTAAACTCTGAACTAAAACGTGGTTACTTTCCACTAACTTGTCCGCCATTTTGTTTTGCTTTGCTTTCGCGACTCTCTTGACTCTCAATCAATTTAATTTCAACTTTCTGCAATCCATTCTACTTTTTGCATTCAGTTTCAACTCTCTGCACAGTTTGGGATTAACTGACGCCTTCTCAGCCAATGAGCATGCTGAAATTTTTGCATGCATATTAGAGGTAACTGACGGCTAAAATGTCACTTTTTCGGAATACCGTCTAAATGCCTCGAGTAACACATTGAAACAGATACAAGGTGCTTCGTATACCTCTTTGCACCTTTTTTCGCCGGGAAAACTGTCCTAAATGCAGCTTCGTGAGTCATCCGCCGTAAACGCTTCGATTTTGATCATGTGACCTTATACGTAACACGTGTGTACATTAACCAAAAAAAAAAATGGCGGATAGTACTTCGAGCGAAAGCAGTCCTATTTCGGGGTCTTATTATTCGGATTTTGAGGCCTCGATGTAAAGTGAACATGATGAAAGGGTTTATGAATCCGTTGGTGAAATCAGGCCCAGCCAATTTGAACCGCTAGGACGAATGTAACCTAAAATAGAGGGCGGGGGTCAGAAGAGGATCAAGAGCCCGTTCGCCGCGGCTGCCTCAATCGAGAAAGCAAGAATGGTGAGTGCATTTGCGATTGTAAAAAAAATTCTGAAAATCAGTTGCTTATTAATTGTAGGAGCGACCAATTAAAGAAAACCAAATGTGTAGACTCTTGAATGCCGTGAGAGTGAAAGGTCTTTATGCTACACGCACGCACCTTTCGAAGCTAAGGTTTCACTGATTAAAAATACAAACATACACGCTTGTGGAGGTAAATTGGATGGATTATACACGTTCACACGCGATTGAATCGGTTTTTAAGTTTTCCTGTGTTGAATTTGGCGAACGATTAAAGATTTCTCGGCTTTTACTTTAAAACACGATACAGAAAAAAATAACATTCGCACATGAAGAATTATAAATATAGTAAAGTAGCCTCTAAAACATCTTTTGCCGAGAAGTAGAAGTATAAAAATTTGCAGGATGTTACAGTGGAACAGTTGCAGGCAGAAGCCAGATGTATTGTCCAGTATCAAGGGTTTGAGGAAACTGGTGGAGGCTGACCACGTCTGAATTTGCTTTGTTACAAAACATCAATACATAGAGCTTCCCTGGTTTTCGTTTTCTTTGTTTTACATCCTGTTGTTTTCCGTCCATATTGTAAATGTCAACGCGGCTAAGAGTAGTACAGTTTTTTATATCTTTTCCGTGAACATATATATATATATATATATATATATATATATATATATATATATATATATATATATTATAGTTTTTAAAGTTCAGGTCGTAATTTGAGAAACATTACCTACTTGTTATTTCCATAGCACGAGTTTGTCGCTGACTCCGTTCCTTTTTTTATCAAAGCACTGCGTTTTGAACGGTAGGAGCTTGGCATTCCCATGACATGTGCTTAAATGGTTTCCTCTCTCAGGCTGTCAGCTTGTTTTACTGTTCACTCAGCTGACAGTGGTACATTTTTCAATTTTTTCACTCGATAATGGTTAAGAGGAAAAAATTATGGGAACATATATTTTTTTACAGCTGTTTGGAATGGCGTGCAAATTACCTGTGGCTCTGAATACAGACACGCTATCTGTCGCGTTTCGATTATTCAACCTTTGTTGTTTTATTTCTCACTTCGTATTTCATAGTCTCTAATTGGTGGCCTATAAGAGAATGGAACAAATCTTATTTTTTTTCCGCTCGTAAATTTCGGCAGCAACTGAGCAGCCGGGACGAAGTTGATACTTTCAGGTCTTGACATGACGCTTTTCACTGCCTTACACACGTGTGACGTATCACATCCCGACCTGGCCGTCGATTAAGCGTCAAAAAAAATTTATAGAAAATTTGATTTTGCAAGTCATATCGTAAATTTGTTCATGAAGGATTCTTTAAGGAATGTATTTGGACAAAAAAAGGAGAAAAATTTGGCGTCAGTTACCCTTTAATGATTTAGTTCTTTATCGTATCTGGCATTACATGTACATAACAGCTACAGTTATCAGTTGTGTGAACAGATTCAATAAACGGTGAGATAAACAAAACGATAAATAACTTATACAATAGATCCATGGCCAGTAGTTAAGATACTTACGAGCACATCAGCAGTATTCTCTGCGAATCCAATTATTGTTGTTCAAAGTGTTTTCTTTGTAAAAAAATTCAAGCAGCTCCTTTAATTTATTAGAAGGCTGGTGTAGTTTCAAGATTGATAAGTTTGGGCTCATATTTGATAAAACTTTTAAATTTTTTTTTGAGAATCAAGGGGAATAAATATCACATTTTTTAAATTTTATTTCTACATTAGGTGGTCGTGCTCTTTCTTAATGACTCGATACGCAAGGTTAAGGCTAACACCGAGACACTAGCGACCTTACTAAAGGAGATAGAGGATATGCAAGTTAACATCGTTCCCATCGGTATCGGGGAGCACGCCAAATTATCAGAGTTAATTAAGATGGCAACTAAAGATGGCACAGCACGTCACTTTGGAGAATTCGAGTCACACGAGAGGTTGGGAACAGCTGTCATAAAAGGTAACATGGGGAGGTTTAGAATTACGATATAAAAAAAACTCTCCCTATAATGATTACTCTCCTAATTGGTTTGGGAAAAAAATAAGAAAGTACTGCTTGCCCTTGTTACAATTCGAATTGAGGAAGGTTTTTAACGTTGGTATATTTTTAAAAGCTTTAACTTTTCTCGCCACTGCTCGGAAGCGTAACTGGCTTTATAATTGATATGTTTTACTTTCTTACAGGTATCGAGGGAAAGAACATCTATGGTGAGGACGGGCTATTTTTGGTAGCTAGATTTCCAGATCGTTAAACTTTTTTTTTTCCAAATAATTTTCGTCAGACCGTCAATGCTTTCAGAGTTTTCATTTTGATGGTCTCCATTCTAAGCTCTCGTCTCAATCATTGTCCTACCGAGTATAACTATGATTACTATGATGTTTTTCAGAGAAATACAAGGATTACTTTACGACTCCTTATTTCATCTTTTTGCGTGACACGCTGAGTTATCTCATCCTCCTCGTTCTTCACTTCGCCATTTGCCTGTCCCCTTCAACTATTGCCTTCAGTCGACTAGAATGGGCCATTTTAGCTTTCTTCCTGGGACGCGTTTTGATGGAGGTGGATCAGTTTATTAGTCCTAAAAAGGCTGGCATGAAAGCATGTAAGCTGTGTAGAGATGGCTCCAGCTACCAAGAATGCTCACAAGAGGGTCAACAAGAGACAAATGAGGCAGAAGAAGACAATATCTTGCGAAAGCTTTGTAATTATTTCAGGTATTTCAGCGTTTTCTTTTCTGTTTCTAGTGACAATACTATATTCTCATTCATGTTGGGGGCATGTCAGCTAGGAAGGATGGGGAAAAGAGTTTACAGCTTGAAGACGATAACAAAACGAGCCACTGTTCTCAGCTTAGGTACACTAGTAATTTTTTTAGAGCTGCATCATTAGTCATGAGGTGACATGGTTCACTGCCCGGGTTCATTGACAGCAACCGATTTTTATTGTTTTAGTACACCATTAATTAGCTCGTACTCATTGCAACAATAAATAGTGGTACTTGTAAGAACTGATTATTTTGCCTCATAATTATGAAAGGTCTAGCAGTTCACGGATTCCCTTAAATAGATAATGGTCTTCTAGTACTGATATCTACTACTTTTATAGTGACCGTTGGAATGTGCCTGACTTCATCATTCTTGTTTTGTACCTGATTGCCTTCATACTACGCATAATAACATGGAGGAACTCCACGGACGTGTCAGAAAACTCACTCTTGGCTGTGTCAGAGTATTTCTATGGATTTATCGCCATGTTTCTAACACTGAGAGCCTTTGGTCAAGTCATAGAGCGCAAGCGGGGAATGGGTGCAATACAAATCGCTTTTTCCTTTGTTATCTGGGATGTAATGGCGATATTTTGGCAGTTTTTGGCCATGATTCTAGCATTTTCTCTGGCTATGACCAAGATATATGTTGCTGAGAAGACCTATACCTCAGGAAAAAATTCCACGGAGGATTTGTGAGTACATATCGCGATCTTTCTAAATTATCGAAACCGTGAGTGACAGATTTTAACTTGTTGGGCCCATTCATTTGTTAGTCTTTTTAGTAGTGGGGTGGAAGATCTTTCCTTTTACGTTATGGAGGGGAACCTCATGAATGTCTAGGCACCCAATCTAGGAAACAGTGGGCTAAAAGCTAATCAAGTGAGATTTAGTTTTTTGGATGGGAAGCCCAACAGGAGAGTAAAACTGCTCAGATCAGAATGTCAAACGTTGCATGAAGGCCGATTTTTTACAGTCTTTATGAATACTCAAGCAGGAAATTTCAAAAAGAGGCCTCAATAAATAAGTCACTTCGTCGCGCCACTAATACACAAAAGGTTTGAAATCAAATTATGATAGCCTGATGTCCATTAATCATCGCTGGGTCAGTCGTAATCATAAATCGTGGAGTCAGTGACTTGCTATACACTGACTTTTTGTGCTTCTGGAGGTATAAGTTCAGGAATGTTAGTTAAAAATTTCTCTGGAACAACACAACCGTGTAAAATAAATTTGGAAGGGGGGGGGGTGGTGGTTATGGGACAATTTCTGTTGGTTAAACCGTAAACCATAGCAACGGTTTCTTTAACCATTCATTTTCTCCTATCATTTTTAGGGCATGCAGTGATTCCGGGCTAATTTGGTAAGATTGAAATTGTAGTTTTTTTCTACTCTAATTTTAACTTTGTACTCTGATGTCTAAAATATACCAGGTTACACGAAATTTTTGCTAACCTTGAATTTCGCGCTTTCAATATCCCGCGATTATGTAAAAAGTTTCAAGCGTGAAATTCTATACCTGAGGGGTCGGAAAGGTTTATTTTAAAAGGTCTCCCGGGAGGAATAAAAGCGGAAAAAAAATCATACTGATGTGTTAAAAGAAGCACCGATGTTCAACACCGAGCTTTACCAGCTTCATCATGAAAATTTGCAGGGAAGACACTCTTTCCTTTCATGGCAGCAGATTTACTAGAACAAGAAGCAGAGCTGCGAGTGAAGAAACTCTCTTCGCCTCCCATCCCTCTCGCGGCTTCGCGTCCGATTAATTAACGCTACCTCTCACTTAAACCTGCAAAAAAGGCCAGCCCAGCTATTAGTTTACCTTCTGGAAAAATCCAGACTTCATCGTTGCTATTTCTTTTTACTAGTGGTATCCCTCAGGTTGAAGGTTATCTTGTAATATTTCTTCAGCGTTGCTATTTCTTTTTACCAGTGGTATCCCTCAGGTTGAAGGTTATCTTGTAATATTTCTTCATCGTTGCTATTTCTTTTTACCAGTGGTATCCCTCAGGTTGAAGGTTATCGTGTGATATTTTGGATACCAACACGTAAATGTGTTGATATTTGACTTAATGGAGCTGACCAGGAATCTGGAAAGCAAATTTTGAAATCGATCATCCATGTAAGAGCAGTGACACGATGGCCTCCAGGACACAGACGTTTAAAAATATTTATGGCGGTCAAAGGGATCTCAATTTCAAAAATTCAATGGTATTTCGATCTAACTCGTTGCTTATGTTCTTCAGTTGGTGGAACATGGCGACACACCTTGGTTGGTCTTTACTGGGTTTAGCTGACCTGGATAGGTTGAACTCCGTCGACAATTCATCCGTTTCTCTTATTCATGTGCTGTACAGCTTCTTCTTAATCATGGCAGTTATTCTTCTATTGAACATGACGATTGCGTTGCTCTCCAACACCTATAAGCAGGTTCAGGTACTAAACAGTCTCTTTACCTTTGCTGATGCATATTAATTCTGTTCATAATCCAGAGTTAAGAAAATATGAGAAGTTCTCGACTGTAAACTCAGAGGACTTTTTTGGCGTAAGATATAAAATATATTTTTCGCAAAGTTCAAAATATTCTATGATCATTTATAATTGTACTTTTGGCCGACTGACGCTTTAGACGAAAATGATGGTAAATATTGTCCCTTGGGTATGATATGTCAAAAATATTCTTCCGCTATAGGAGTGTCGCCTGTTGTCTTTATTAACTGGTACTTCCTTAGAAGCTGTTAAGTCCTTCTCATTCCTCTATTATCAGGACAATTCACTGAAGGAGTGGTCTTTCAAGAAAGCCATTACTGTAAGAACTTACAGCACCTATCATCCGATACCAGTGCCCTTCAACCTTTTGTCTCTCCCCCTGATAGTGCTCTGGAACCTACGTCGGCGCGACACTCTCCCGACTGCTTTGGCCGAGGGCGGACGGGTAAGCTGGTAACGCCTTGCCAATCAGTTTTGTGAGTTTTAACAAGCTGCTGTTGTTTAAAGTTATCATTTACGTCTGCTCAGTGATTTTACTTCACTTTTGACGTGGCCTTCTTGATTCGACAGAGAATAGCTCGGAATAAAGTGATGAAGAAACTAGAAAGGATGTACTTCGAGAAATATGGTTATGAATTTCCCCTCACAGGTGGGTGATGTGCTAGATTGGTAGATAGCCCCAGAAATCTATGATTTGGTCTTAAAAAAGAATATGGCTCAAAGAGATGTTTTTCTACTTAACCTTGCTTCGCTATGATCAAAGCAATAGTTCTGAAGAAGTTTATACCATGACAGACAAGAAATAAAAAATCACAAATGAAGAATTCCAGTAATGACAATCTATTTATAACGAGGCGTATCTTAATGATTTTGCTGACTAGATTCAGAAGAGGCCAATTTAATATTTGGTTCCTCGCTTTGTTTTAGAGAGGAAAAAGATAGATTACTTGGTGCATGAAAATGAGGATTTTAACCTTTTCCCTCGAACACAAATTTAAATTCAAAACGAGGCGTATTATAAATATTTTGTTCACATGATTCAGAGAAGGCCAATGTAATACTTCGTTCTTCGCTTTGTTTTAGAGGGGAAAAAGATGGATCATCTGATGCATGAAAATGAAGGAGGTCGAAAATTGGCCAATCAGATAGTTCGGGAAGTATTCCGACCGCGTGGAAACAAGAAGGAGAAACTTGCGTTTGGCCAAAGAGTGAGTATTTTTCAGGCCCACATTCACGTGTGAATTAAACAGGAAGTTTCCCTACCATATACTATGGATCCTGCTCCATCAGGATACACCTTTTTAGCCATTTTAATTTGCATTTTAACCTTTTCCCTCGAGCACAAATTTAAATGTACGATTGAGAAAACCTTTCAAGAAACATTGTGCTGTAGTTTCCATGTTCCTTTGAAAAAAAACCGAACTTGTTTTGTAGTGACATAGAAGAGCTGATCTCAAATGCTGCTCCGGGAAGTACAAAAAAGTCAACAAAATTTGCTCTCAACGCGCGATACGAAAATTAATGGGAGGGTTATAGCTTGAATAAAACCCCTTCTAGCTTGCTGGTATGTCGGCTGACAATATCCACGGTTGAGAGATTGTCTTTAAGTTTTCAAATTTCTCCTTAAAGCTTTGGTTCTTGGCCAAATATTCATTTTTGGACAGTCTCAGCCGCAGACAGTTTCATGTGACATACCAGCCGCCTGAAGGGGTCCCTCATGTTACTGAAGTTTTGTTCGATTGTCATTTAAAGGCGTGGTATGATTTGCCGGGAATTGCTGTCGATGGCTGTCTCCTAACTTACATGGGACCTGATTTCTGCAACATATGCAAAAGTGGAAATCGTAAGAACATTCACAGTGCCAAGTTCAAGTCTCCCTTTACACCAGAGACACCACGATTTGAGGTGTGCTTTTTATTTATAGAGAATTATTTGCGAACAACAAATTTAATTCATATACTTCCTGCTTCATGATAGACTCTCTGAAGATGCAACATAATTACATCGCCTTTTTACCCTCTTCCCTTAAATAACCTCCCTCCTGTAGGCGCTGGTATTCTTTTCTATTTTGTAGCTCTACAGATACTCATTTTTTTAAGAATGAGCCTAACGGTGCCTCCATGATAGAAAGACAAGATCGGTTCCTAAAAACATCTCTATGTTCCTCTTGTGGTATCCTACTCTCACCTTCTTTCATGGTAACGTGCCAAAATGGATCTCGTTTGGGCACTTAACCCTGTAACACCTAAGAGTGACTATGATGTAATTTCTCCTCACATTATCATCCCTGAGTCGAACATTAGGGTCACATGGATAAAGTAAGTGATCATCAACCGAAAAAGCTCTTCATTGTTTAAATAATTCTTCCTTGATGAAATTAAGTGATCCTCGCAGCTAAGAACACTACTGGAACGAGTAGTTGTAAATAGGACCTGAAAAAAAAATTCAGGCCGGTACGGGATTTGAACCCATGACCACTGCGATACCGGAGCAGCACTCTACCAATTGAGCTAACAAGCCAACTGGGAGCTGGCTTGAACTCGTTTCAGTAGTGTTCTTAGCTGCGAGGATCTCTTAATTTCATCTCTCCACCGCAGTGCAAATACATGAATTCTTCCTTATCAGCACAATTGTATAGAGAACAGCATGGAGAATATTCATAATGATGTTAAGGTATAAAAGGTTAAATTCATCTCCTTGCTCCACTTCGTTGAGGTGCATTTCAGGGTCAAGTTATAAGGCCTTAGATGGCCACCTTTGAATAGCGTGATGGTGCCTTCGTTCAGCCGAAATTCCCCTTTGGATTAATCGTTTATATTTATATTATTATTGTCGTTATTATTATTATTTAGATTAGTGTGTTGCTTTGTAATCATCATCATTATTGCAGTTGTTATTATAGCTACTTTTGTTGTTTATATGATCATTATTTCGGATGTTGATTGTTTATATCATCACTAACATCGTCTTTGGTCTAAGAAACTAGTATTCCCTCGGTCTCACGAGCAAAAAAACTCATCTGCATACTAAAACAAAAATTAAAAGCATGGAACTTATGGCAACCGTAACTGCAAAGTCTAAAAAAGAAAAGGCCGTCATTGTTTTGCAGGTACTTATTGAGGAGACTGGGGCGAGGCGTATTGTGGCACTGGGTGCTGTGCATGAGTCGTACGACTGTCACAAAATGCCTGGCTGGTATAGTGGAACAGTCGGTTACCACATAGAGGATGGTAAAATATTTGAAACTGGCTTCCATGAGCTGGGAAGAGAAGTCGAAGGTATGGGTTACTTTGACGATAGGTGTGCGATATCTGCCACAAGGATCTGTTGGCGCTTGGAAACATAATCAAAGTCTTGCCGTCCTTCTGAGGGCGACCTTACGACAGTAGGTTTCTGTTTTCCAAAAGAAAAAGATTCAGAAATTTTCGTTTGTAAACGTTGTAGGGATCACTTTAAAATCGTTATAGACTCCTCGAGATGATTATTCTGACGTGCATGAGATAAATGGGAAATGTATTGTAGCTGTGTGACCAAGATAGAATGTTGAACGTAGTTGCTGTAAAATCCACGTGCCTAGAATGTGAAACTGAAAAAACCCTGAATCCGTGGAGGGTTCCAACCCTCGCCCTCTGCTTGCCGATCAAATGGTCTACAGAGAACTCATTTAAGGCCAAAGAAAAACGAGATTCATATCAACAAATGCTTGACGCTGCTAGGATCATTTATATCGTCAACACTCCTTGTATAAATACAGTGAGGGAGATTAAACTTTGTCTTCGAATGAACGAAGAGGTAGGTCATTGATCAAGACCGAACAGCAAGGAAAAAAGTCCAATTTCACATCCTGGTGTTACACGGTTGGTTGCCTCATGTTTAGTTTATTTTGTTATGTTTTTGCTATGTACCTTATATTTTCTGTTGATAACTTAGGAGCTATGGCTTACCGCGGTGATCTCATTGCATGTGAAGTTGATTTTAGTGGAGTCCCCGAGGGAAAAGTCTCTGTGTTGTTCTCCTTGAACGGTAGAGAAGTAGCGCGTTCTTCAGTGAAGTATACAGAGGGAAATAAAGTATTTCCCTTCGTTTCATTGGGATTTGAAGGCATTACAGTGCTCACCAAGGTATGTTCGAAAGAGGGAGGGGGAAGCGGGGAGGGGGAGGGGGAGGGTAATGGGCTAGAAATTGAATCTATAAATGGTTTGGTTTCATCAGTAATCTGCTAACATATCACGCCTCGGCACACTCCTCCTGTTACAGTCGAGGGATTGGTCATGAGACCAAATTAGAAACATGTGGCGAGGAAGAACTTTGTCGTATCCAGTGTTGAAAAGACCACTAAAATTTTGTTCAAGTTTGAGTAATTTAAATGTTTGCGAACATTTACAAACTATCCAACCTTTTTACCAAAAGGCTGTGCCCTGATTGCTCTTAAGGTAAGAACAAGCAAAAAGCGCGTCGATCTCTGCAGCATATCTGTATTCCACAATTGTGAAAATTAGAGCCTACAGTTGACAACTTTTGATCATCGCTGTCCATAAAATTTCGTCTTTTTCATTTTTAAATTGGAGACTTTTGACGTTTGACTTTTGCACGTTTTAGATGTGCCATCCCGACAGAGACCACTTTAGTACAGTAACAAATGAAGACTTTCGGAAGGAAATTGGAGATCTGCGACGTGATTTTCAGGATCAACTTGACAAGCAAAGGAGGATGTTAATGTCAGAAATGAGAGATTTATTACTGCGTTTGAAGGAAGTAAAGGATAAAGAAGAACAAGAAGAAGATACTAAGAGGCTGGACGGAGGAAAACAAAGATTTTCATCTCCTCAGTAGTTGTTCGAGAACATTTATTCAGCTAAGGTGCAATCTAAATTTGTGTGAATCCCTGTACCTTTCTTAAAATCCCTCTAGTCTCGAATGAAGATAGCAGCAGAAGATATTTTTATCTAATACTAGATTAATATTTTTATCGAATGTAAGCGCGAGGCGGGCACAAAGGGCGAGTCACACGCGAGGAGAGAAATTTACATCTGTGCAACTGATGCATCTGTGATCCCGGTGAACAAAATGATCCTCAAGTTTGCACTGCAACGAACCCGGGACATTTCGAATTGATCGGCGCATAAGATCATATAGGGGGTATTTACGTAGACTATAGTTGGCGAGGTCCTTTATACCAGTCGAGAAAAAATCAGCCGCAGAACTCTGGGAGTGAGGTGCAGCGCGCTGACATCTTAATTATTTTTTTTTTCATTGTTTTCTTTTCTATTCCCGTAACGGACTTCGGTGTATCTGTCACAGTCTGATACGTGTCAATTAGAAAACAAAAGGAAAAAGGAAGAGCGCATGTACACTTTTGAATAAATTGTATTGATGCTGTAAGGAGAAATTATCTCTTGGTCATCCATGGGAATTAAAGGTTCCACATTGGTTTTCTCTCTTACCTGATATTTCTTGGAATAAATTGGCTTAAATAGGTTTTTTTCGTGGAGAAGCGTTGGTCTTCATAATTTGCAATAGTAAACCTTGTAGAATGTGTTAAACTCGTCAATCTTTGTCTTTTTGTCTAGGTTTAGCCTGAAGCTAAAGTCTGACGTAAGTTGCCTAAAAAATTGTATTGCATAGTAACTCTTTGATGGCGGTACAAACTCCCTTGAAAATAAAAGTCTTGACTGACTAGGATATTTTTGAAGAAAGGGTTGTTTGAAGAGTATGATTGACAACTCATTTTCGCAGGTGAAACTAAAGATGCTGGTAAATTAGGAATGAGTTGTTAAAACAACAGGGAAATGCAAACCCATGCAATTTTATTGAAAAGACTTTCAATAATGTCATGTGTACGTCATATCAAGCAACAATAATCACTAGTGAGTTTCAAATTTCCAAAAAACATAAATAATTTTGTAAGCAATTATAAATATCTAATTCGAAGAGGTACTCTTTCGCTAAGTCTGACTCAGCAACATTTAGTTAGCTTTTATGAATATTTTAATATGGAAAGTAGCCAGAAAGTAAAAATAATTTGGACTGGCCGTTGTTGTTCATATTTTTTCTTGGCAAATGGTGAAAAGAATTAGGAGCAAATTGCGACAATAACTATCTTCGTTTTGTAGCAGCATATATAAAATAGCTTAATTGCTCCTACTTTTGTTCCACAGTCATATCCAGCATGTCTAGATTTATACTTTTGCGTATCAGACACTTGTTCCCTTTGTAGCCGTTTTTGCGACGTCATGCAACTGATGCACGTTGCGTGACATCCCAGAAAAGGCTGCGAGATATACCGGTATTCGGCAGTTTCATTGAATCATTCACGAAAGTATTATGTGGATACCTAGTTCAACTTTATTTTCGAACTTAAAAGATATCCGGCTTTGTAAAAGATGAGGAGGTTCCTTAGTATTTGCAAAGAGTAATTTTGTGAGAGGATGAATTGTTTACGCATTCAGATTGGTTCTCGCCTATGATCTATTGGAGGACAGACGTGTAGAAGATCTATGAGCAGATTATTAGCAAGATCATCTGGGAGCCCTTCCGTTTACCCTGAAAGATGATAACCAGTTCCTAGTCCCCCACATTGCAAGTTTACCCCCTCCCCGACGAGTTCGCGACGACTAGCACGAGTTTGCTCCCAAATGCTTTTTAAAAATCCCTCACTCTTGGCAAAAAATATTCTCCGTGATCAGGCATGTTGTGTAAGACTCGGAGGAAAGACCCCACGTTATCCGAAAACATTGGAGATTTCGCTACCTTCAATGGATCACAATCTTCCGCTTATGCTAAGGAAATGTTGAAAACAGAAAGATACCGATTCCTCTTCTATGCGAAGAAACCTCCCAAAATTCAACAATTTACCCACGTGCAGCGTCACTGAGAAAAAATAAGGCCAATATTCCAAAAATATCTTATTTGCTCTTATTTAATTTTGCCCTGTTCTCACCGCGCCTTCTTTCACAAGTTTCAGACCAACTCAAATCAAATATTTATATCATGAAAATCTTGCTGGTGCGGCGAAGAAATATCCATTTTGTTAACTGTGTTATGACAGCTGTACTGACTACTTGTGCGCACTACCGAAAAAAAACGTGAACAACTTCGCTATTTTCTAAGACTACGGCTTCCTGGGGAATAAATATTTTTTCAACCTAGAAAATAACAAAAAAGGAAAAGATCTACATTAAAAGTATATTCGTTGATGAAAATAGTCGGAGAACAAAACCAACGGAGATACTGACGGAATTCGAAAACTTCTATTCTAAACTTTACAAGGAAAATTCACTTACTTTGGGTGATTCTATGAATAACTTTCTTAATGGAGCGAACAATGGCAAACAGTATTTATCTAAAAAGTTCAATCGAATTTAATCGTTCAGGCAAAACAAAACATCAGGAAATGATGGCCCAAGTTCCGAATTTTACTTACCGTTTGGAAGTCTTTTGGAAAATCATTTCATAGACTCTTTACACTTCTCCCATGTTCATGATCAACTCTATTCTTCTCAGAGACGAGTATTGGTGATTGTTTTGAGAAAAAAGATTAGAATAGTCGTTTGATCCAAAATTGGCGCCCTATCTCACTAACAAATGTCGATTTGAGAATAGTTTCAGAAGCCTTACTAAGGGGCTCGAACTTTTTCTCACCGAAATTATTCATTACAACCAAAATTAATTTGTGAAATGAATGTCTGTGTTTGATGCATTGTGGACCATCGGGGATAGTTTGGGAATGAAAAATAGCTCTGGGATCCTGGTTGTTATCAAATTTGAAAAAGCAAATGATTCTGTTGCCCATGATTTTCTATTTAAAGTTTCGGAAAAATTTAACTTTGGATCGTATTTCAAGCAGTGGATAAGAACCTTTTATACAGATATGTCAAGTTATGTTATGAATAACGGTTTCAGTTACAAACTCTCCTTTGTACAGAGCATAGGGTTCTTCAAGATGATCCTCTCTTACATTTCTTTTTTATTATGGACCTGAAAATTTTTGCGTGTTAAATTAGACAGGATAACAATATGGAAGGAATAAAAATTTACCTGCATTCGCTGATGATATGACCAGTTTTTCAAAGATATGCGTGCACTTATGTGCGGCTGTTTACGCGTCTAGAGTTATTTTTGAGATTTTCAGGTAATCAATGTAAAAAAAAAAAGCAGCGGTGAAAGAATGTTTATCTCTAGCACGTGAATAATTCACTTGCGAAGTGAGGCTTGCTACAAATTGACCGATCACCGTCAAGATTTTTGTGCACTTCAACCTTGAGCTGCTACGTGTGTGCGTTAATTTTTGTAATCACTCATTGTAGACAGGTTGAGGAAGGAAAACTAGAAGCCAATCGATTCTTAGTTACAGCTGCTATTTTGTAGAACTCCATTCCAGCACATAATCCGTAAGGACTTTCAGCCGTCTTGCGCAGGAAGATAATGGCCGACCTTGGGAAGAAGTAAGTAATGATTGTCAACACTGTTTTCATTAAATTATTACATCACAACGTGTTCTAATTTGTTGCTAGCGTGATATCTTGAACTCAGGAGAGACTGTTAGTTGTGTGGAACATCACAGATTAAACGGGTTTCCCATTCGGAGTTCATTCGACTTAGCTCTGTTCTGCTATCGAACAGTGGACTCCAGGTGTTGAATTGCGGAAACATTTATGCAAATATATTTTGACTAAGATTGACTTTGAAATAAGTTACCACATTAGAAAGAAAACTTTGTTGAGGTCTTATATTCTTTCAAAATTAATTCACATAAAGAAATCCTGGTCTTCGCTCTGAAAGCGTTTTTTCTTTCGGTCCTGATTTGGCGAAGGTAGTTTTAAAGCATGTTTGAGCAGGATTTCCCGTTACTCATTATGCACACTTTTCTTTGTTAAAAAACAAGAAACGATAGCGACGTAGTTGATTTCCTTTCGGAATGCGGCTCTGTTTGCAGTTTTTGATTTGTTCCATTTATCCACAGGCAGCCCAAGCTTCAGCTGTAAGATAATCATCTTGCGAAAGAAGAGTCATGGCGAAATTATAAGAGTTTGTATGGCAATTATTACAACCGCTCTTAAGAATAGAAAAATAAGTCAAATTCTCAATAAAAGTACCTCACCTAACGACATAAGCCGAAGCCCTAGAAAAGGAAAACTCGCTAAATGGGTTATTTTCAACATAGCAAGTGGTCAGATAACAAGTGTTGCACTGTGGAAGTAAGTATTGAGAATTTGACTTCGCAAGATAATCATCTTGGGCCGCCTGTGCTTTATCACGTCTTCTTGAATGGCTCACATATTAAATCCTGTGACGACGCCATTTTAACAAAGCGATGATGGCTCAAAACTTATGGCTGTTTTTTTTCTTTAAAGAGGATCATTGCATTTTAGTTCCGACAGAAACTGTGGCTTAACTGCAGAATACACCGCCACACGAAGTAAATTCTACGTAACAGGCCACGCGGTACCCTGAAAATAATTAATTCAAATAAGAATTAAATTTATTCAGTGGACAAATGAATTCAAAATGACGCAGCAATGTTATGTTGGCTACGCGGTACGCCGTGAGAACAAAGACAGAGTGTTGTGCATTCCTTGTTCTTCCGGTACGCGGTACGCTGTGATAAATAATCTAAGTCAGAGGAATGTACATTCCTCGTTCTTTGAGCTTGAAAGCCCTGGATCAAAGCCTAAAACTAATTCCACCTTCAAGACGCTGATATTTATTTCTACGCCGTGATGAATAAATAATTCAAGACAGATTGTAGTGTATTCCTCGTTCTTTAAGCGTCAATGGGTAAGTAATTCCACAGCCTAAACACTCAGATTTTACATTACATTCTATGAACGCGATATTTCTGGTATTAAAAACGTGAAAACCTCAACTTCATTTCTCGTTCTAAAAACGTAGTATCCAAATATTTGGCCATTTTTTTATGCCTCGTTCTATATAAAAACGCGTAAATTGTAAACGCAAAAGTTATCAGTAGCGTGTGTCGCGTGAAATTTTAGGCAACGAGCCATTAAGTCAGCACTTCAGTCTTCACAAGCAAGACGCGTACCGAGAATTGTCTGTTTCTCGTTCTGTAATTCACTGCAGGAGTGGTCTTTCAAGAGAGCCATTACTATTAGGACTTACAGTACCTATCATCCGATACCAGTGCCCTTCAACCTTTTGTCCGTCCCCCTGATAGTACTCTGTGTTGAAAACTGGACCGAGAGTGTCACGTGGATTTTTGTATGTTTCTTACCCCCCACGAATTGAACTTTGAACTCTTGATGAAAACTCAAAAAAGGAAAATGAAAAGGAATGCGTGAAAGCTGTCTTGTATATTGTTATTCTGGAATACAGTCTTTATTCGAAGTTGTCCTGTTGTGTACGTTTTATACACTCTGGAACCTCCTTCAGAAAACATGGTGCGACACTCCTGCTTCGCTCGATGGACGGGTAAGCTGGTAACGCCTTGCCAATTAGTTTTGTGAGTTTTGACAAGCTGCTGTTGTTTAAAGTATCATTTAGGTCTGCTCGGTAATTTTACGTCACTTTCGACGTGGCCCTCTTTGATTCGACAGAGAGAAGCTCTGAATAAAGTGGTGAAGAAACTAGAAAGGATGTACTTCGAGAAATACGGTTACAAATTTCCCCTCACAGGTGGGTGATACGCTAGATTGCTAGATAGCCCCAGAAATCTATGATATGGTCCTAAAAAAGAATTTTGCGCAAAGAGATGTTGTTCTACTAACCCTTGCTTTGTTATTATCAAATGAACATTTCTAAAGAACTTTAAACCATTACAGGTAAGAATAAAACAAGAAATAAAAAATCACAAATAATTCCATCGATAATGGTTTATTCATAACGAGGCGTATTGTAAATATTTTGTTAACACGATTCAGAGAAGGCCAATTTAATACTTCGTTCCTCGCTTTGTTTTAGAGGGGAAAAAGATGGATCACCTGGCGCTAGAAAATCAGGGAGGTCGAAAATTGGCCAATCAGATAGTTCGGCAAGTATTCCGACTGCGTGGAAACAAGGAGGAAAAACTTGCGTTTGGCCAAAGAGTGAGTATTTTTCAGGCCCACATTCACGTGTTAATTAAACAGGAAGTTTTCCTACCATATACTATGGATCCTGCTCCATCAGTATAAACCTTTTTAATCTTTCTAATTTGCATTTTAACCTTTTCCCTCGAACAAAAATTTAAATGTACGATTGAGAAAATCACTCAAGAAATGTTGTGCTGGAGTTTCCTTCTACCCTTGAAGAAAAACGAACAGTTTTGTAGTGACTTAAAAAAGCTGATCTCAAATCCTGCTCCGTCAAAAGTCAGGAAAATATGCTGCGATACGGAAATGAATGGCAGGGTTGTAAATTGAATAAAACCTCTTCTGGCTTGCTGGTATGTCGGCTGATAATGTCCCTGTTTGAGAGATTATCTTTCAGTTTTTAAATTTCTCCTTGAAGCTTCGGTTCTTGGCCAAATATTCATTTTTGGACAATGTCTCAGCCGCAGACATTTTCAGGTGACATAGCAGCCGCCAAAAGGGGGTCCCTCATGATGCTGAGGTTCTACTCGATTGTCATTTAAAAGCGTGGTATGATTCGCCGGAAATTGCTGCCGATGACTGTCTCCTAACTTACATGGGACCTGATTTCTGCGACACATGCAAAAACGGAGAGCCTAAGAAAATTCACGGTGCCAAGTTCAAGTCTCCCTTTACACCAGAGACACCACGATTTGAGGTGTGGATCTATAGACCTATAGAGAATTATTTGCGAACAAAAAATTTAATTCATATACTTCTTGCTTCATGATAGACTCTTTGAAGATGCAACATCACTATATCGCCTTTTTACCCTCTTCCCTTTCATAACCTTTCTCTTGTAGGCGCTCGTATTCTTTTCTATTTTGGAGCACTACAGACACTCATCTTTTTACAAATGAACCTAATGGCGCCTCCATGATAAAAAGACCAGACCGGTTCCAGAAATAAACTCTTTATGTTCCTCTTGTGGTATCCTATTTTCACCTTCGCTTTCATGGTAACGTGTCAAAATGGATCTCGTTTGGGCACTTAACCCTGTAACACCTAAGAGTGACTATGATGTAATTTCTCCACACATTATCATCCCTGAGTCAAACATTGGGGTCACAAGGATAACGTCAATGATCACCAACCGAAAAAGCTCTTCATTGTTTAAATAATTCTTCCTTATCAGCACAATTGTATAGAGAACAGCATGGAGAATATTTATAATGATGTTAGGGTATGAAAGGTTAAATTTATCTCCTTGCTTCACATCGTTGAGGTGCATGTCAGGGTCAAGTTATACAAACTTTGATGGCCACCTTTGAATAGCGCGATAGTGCTATCATTCAGCCGAAATTCCTTTTTGGATTAACCGTTTATATTTATATTACTATTGTTATTATTATTATTTAAATTAGTGCTATTGCTTTGTAATCATCATCACTATTGCAGTTGCTATTATAGCTGCTTTTGTTGTTTCGGATGTTGATTGTTTATATTGTGGCTAACACCGTCTTTATCATCATTATTATTTTTTTTTTGGTCTAAATAACTAGTATTCCCTCGGTCTCATGAGCAAAAAAACTCATTTGCATACTGAAACAAAAATTAAAAGCATGGAACTTACGGCAACCGTAACAACAGAGTCTAAAAAACGAAAGTCTATCATTGTTTTTCAGGTACTTATTCAAGAGACTGGGGAGAGGCGTATTGCGGCTCTGGGTGCTGTGCATGAGTCGTACGACTGTCATAAAATGCCTGGCTGGTATAGTGGAACAGTCGGTTACCACATAGACGAGGGAAAAATATTTGAAACTGGCTTCCATGAGCTGGGAAGAGAAGTCGAAGGTATGGGTTACTTTGACGATAGGTGTACGATATCGGCCACAAAGATCTGTTGGCGCTTGGAAACATAATCAAAGTCTTACCGTCCTTCTGAGGGCGACCTTGCGACAGTAGGTTTCTGTTTTCCAAAGAAAAAGATTCAGAAGAAGATACTAAGAGGCTGGACGGAGGAAAACAAAGAAGATTTTCATCACCTTAGTAGTTATTCGAGAAAATTTATTCAGCTCAGTGCAATCTAAATTTGTGTGAATCCCTGTGCCTTTCTTAAAATTCCTCAAGTCTCGAATGAAGATAGCAGCAGAAGAGATTTTTTTATCTTATACTTAGATTAATATTTCTCTCGAATGTAAGCGCGAGGCGGGCACGAAGGGCGAGTCACACGCGAGGAGAGAAATTTTACATCTGTGCAACTGATGCATATGTGATCCCGGTGAAAAAAATGATCCTCAAGTTTGAACTGCAATGGACCCGGGACATTTCGAATTGATCGGTGCATAAGATCACATAGGGCGTATTTACGTAGACTATAGTTGGCGAAGTCCGTTATACCAGTCGAAAAAAAATCAGCCGCAGAACTCTGGGAGTGAGGTGCAGCGCGCTGACATCTTTTTTTTTTCTCATTGGTTTTTTTTTTTTTTTTTTTTTTTACCCCCGGAATGGACTTCGGCGTTTCTTTCATAGTCTGATACGTGTCAATTAGAGAGGAAAAAGAAAGGGCGCCTGTACACTTTTGAATAAATTGTTTATTTATTTCTTGGTCACCTATGGGAATTAAAGGTTCCAGATTGGTTTTCTCTCTTAACTTATATTTCTTGGAATAAATGGGCTTAAATTTTTTTTTCGTGGAGAGGTGTTGATCTTCATAATTTGCAATAGTAAACCTTGTAGAATGCGTTAAACTCATCAATCTTTGTCTCCTTGTCTAGGCTTCGCCTTATTTAAATTTATTTTTGAACTTGAAAATATCTGGTTTTTGTAAAAGATGAGGATGTTCTTTAGCATTTGCAAAGAGTAGTTTTATGAGAAGATGAATTATACACGCATTCTGACTGGTTATTGCCTATGATCTATTGGAGGACAGACGCGTAGAAGACCTATAAGTAGATTACTAGCAAGATCATCGAGGAGCCCTTCCGTTTACCCTGGAAGATGATGACAAGTTCCTTGGCCCCCACATCGCAAGTTTACCCCCTCTCCGACAAGTTTGCGACGACTAACACGAGTTTGTTCCCAAATGCTTTTAAAAGTCCTTTGTTCTTGGCTAAAAATATTCTTCGTAATCAAGCATGTTGTGTAAGTTCCGGAGGAAAGCCCCCTCGTTATCTTACAACATTGGAGATTTCACTGCCCTCAATGGATCACAATCTTACGCATATGCAAGACGCGTGTCAAGAATAAGAATTTAACTGCATTCGCTGCTGATATAACCTGTTTTTCAAATATATGCGTGCTCTTATGTGCGTCTAGAGGCATATTTGAGATTTTCTGGTGAACAATGTTTAAACTAGACCCTGTGAGCAGCGTAACTGGGATACCTGGATGGTACTGGATCCGTGGAATCAAGTGTAGTGATACTACGCGTGTCGGACTAGTATACTGAAATAGTGAGCTCAAGTCTGGCCAAGGGCATACACCTGTCTCAAAACATAGGCATGCTATGCATGCAAGAGTTATTTTTTTGTAGGGTGGGTGGATTACTTGAAACATTGTAAGTGGTCTACATTCTTACAAAAGGAAAGAAGATTATTAACGCGGGAAAGAATAAAAATGTCGAATTACCTCACAAACGGGTATTTTGTGGTAGATTATGTGTGTTGTGCGAATAAATGTAACCAAAAATAAACTGTATTGGTGCCACGGATACCTGTTGGTACAAAATGTAGACAGCAGACTGCAGAGTGGGTACAAAATGCAGACTGAGAATCTGAAGAGTTTTTACGTCTGGTATATAATAATATGTCATCTTATAGCTTACCGAGCGTCACGCAATCGCTTTTCCTGCGATCAGCCTTCACGATTATTTACACTATTGTGGAAAATTCCTGGCCCATTTCTTGATGAAAATCGATTGTAATATAGTTTCAAGCCTTCAACATAGTTGGTTGGTGTGATGTCTGTATAGATTTTACCAATGTAATAAAAGTAGATGACGTGAATAATAGTGATGGTAAAGCAAGCTTAAAACGGCAACAATCGCCAGAAACTACAACGGATTCACGGGGTATGAGTAAGTTTTATTGATTTTACGAGAAAAATCTTCATATTTCGAAATATTTATCGTTGTAAATCGACCATATTTCGTTCCCTATACTATTCCTTATAACGTATTCAAATTTTCAATGGTTCCTGGCATAACTTACTCTGAGTCACACAACGCGTGACGCGTTCGTGAATTAATCGTTGGCTCTTTCTCGAGACGTGACCTTGGGTCGCCTGTGACAAGACAATTGCGTAAACAATACTTAACATAATAACATTATACACAAAAAACACGGGATTTTGGATCATGTATTTATTAAAAAAAAATATCCATACAACTACAATGAAAACAAACATAAGATTCACCTTTCTGATCGTGAAATTAATATCATTCGCACTGTTATCGTAGCTACGTTCCCTGGCATCAAGTGAATCCAGCATGGCCTCTTTCTTCACAAGCAGTTTGCATCCATTTGAATTTTGTTCTTCAGTCTCACGGTAGCAGTGTTACTCAATAGATTGCATAGAGTATATGCAGTTTGGTTTCAGATTTCAGATTTTGCTTTTTACAACGAGTTAACGTTTTCAACTAAGACATTGGCATACTTAGCATACAAGACATACAAGGCATTCAATGCTTTCGTGGCTTTCAAGCGTTCGCGATTCAGTCCGTTCCAAAATTACCACTCAATAACATCTTTATGTGTGGATTGGCCGCGAACAATACGACTTGTATGCGTCTATAAGTATTTTGAGCGTTTGCGCCATAATGCTCCAGATGATCGTAATCCAAACACATTGAAATACAAAACGACTGACAAAAGAGTTTTATGGGCAAAAATCTCGTGTTCATCATGTGACCCGGCCCTGTCCGTGTATGACAACGTCAATCATCATCAAGATAGCACGCGTGATCAAAAAAAAAAAGACGACAAAAAAACAAAGGCATTTTATGACTGGGCCACCACAGGTATCCCAGCAAAAAAAAAAAGAAAATCTTAAAGGATACTTATCTCTAGCATGTGAAGAATTCACTTCCGCAGTGAGGCCTGTTGCAAATTGACAAATCACCGTTGAAAATTTTTTGTGCGTGTGTGCGTTAATTTTTGTAGTCACTCATCGTAAACAGGTTGACGAGAGAAAAGTAGACGCCAATTGATTCTTCGCTACAACTGCTATTTTGTAGAACTCCATTCCAGCATATAATCCGTAAGGACTTTCAGCCGTCTTGCGCAGGAAGATAATGGCCAACCCTGGGAATAGGTAAGAAATGCTTGTCAACATTTTTATTGAATTATTATGTCGCAGTAAGTTCTCATTTGCGGCTAGCGTGATTTCTTGAACTCAAGAGAGATTGTTATTTGTGCGAAACATCTCAGATTAAATGGGTTTCCCGTCTGGAGTTGATTCGACTCAGCTCTGTTCTGTTATCGAACAGTAGACTCGAGGTGATGAATTGCGGAAAACTTTATGCAAATGCATTTTCACCGAGATTGACGTTGAAATGAGTTACAGCATAAGAAAGAAAACTTTGCTGAGGTCTTATTTTCTTTCAAAATTACATGACGAGACTTGCTCAAGAAAAGAATTCTCACCAGGAATGCGTAAAATGATCCATAGGCTTGTCAAAGTAAAGCGAGAGGGCTCAATTAGCAAGTGAAAGCGAGGTGTTTGGCTTCGAGCGTGAAATTAATTGAAGTTAACAATTAAAATGTAAACAGGCGCGAGGATCCGCGCGGCTTGCACGTTAGGAGTGCTACGTAAATTTAGGACTCTTTTGCACAATTTTCTCTTTGGAGATAACTACGCATTCATGGCGTGAATGGCAATTTTCATAATTGTAGAATGATTCAGCGACAAGAACGGCTTAGCTAAGCCGTAGTGTGTCATGGCATTTGAAGATAGCCTGGTTGTAGCGCGTGACACGACTATCAAGTAACAGTTATTGTACCCAGCATGTTTTGTTCGTGATCTACAGATTTATTGGTTTGTGACGCAAAGAGCGATTATCTGTTCTGTCACGACAATACCAAAATTAAATTGTGTTAGCCAACTTATATTTCACTCTGATCAGACCTTTGACCCTAAGTCAACATGGAAGCCGGTGAGCCGCTCGGTAAGGACCTTGTTTTCAAGAGAGATTTCGACTGCAGTATGTTCTGGAGATACAAGAGTATCATTTAACACTTGAAACGATTGGGTAGATATTTTGATAATACTTTTCTGGCGTCCATACTGAGGAGCTCTTTCAGTATAAAATATCATTTTAGTAAGTCCCAATCATCAGGTAAGCGCGGGAACTTATCCCGCGAAAATTCTGTGCGAAGGTACGAGTATATTCGGCGGTATCTGCGAAAAGGGGCCATCGTTCTTTCCTTAAGGTAAGGTCTTAACTGTGTAAAACTTCGCGAGGAAGAAATTCTACTCGCTGGCCTGTCCAATTTGGCTTTTAGACAAGGTTGTATGCCTGATAATTTCTGTCTAGAGCTATATGATGACGCGCGATAAATCTCGCTGCTTAATAACCTTTGATCGGAAAATGATGATGCCCAAACCATTTAATCAGCAAAGCAAGGTTTACCTTTACTTCTGTGCTTTCGAAGCAAGAGAAGGAATTATTTCTGTGATAGTTAGGTGACAGATGCTTAAAATCACATGGTGTATTATCCAACTGTTGAAACCTAACATGAGCAAGATGAACTAATTATGGAATGAACCCTGACATCACAGCTCAAATATTCCTTCCCTATAAGATGACGCGCTCTTGGCAGGTTAGTGTGTTTTCTTACTAATCGTACTGTACTATTTCGCAGTTTCGAAAGCAGAATCCTGAAGATACTCTCGTTCTTTTGTTATTTCTTACCCACTCTCTCGTGTAATCAGACTTATCTCCGTGAGGGAAGAACCTTCATTTTTGAATTTTTTTCCCGGTTTTGTCATTCGTATGTGAGCTGTTCTTATCTGAAGGCAGAACCTTTCCCTTTTTTTCACCTGGCTCTGTCTCTCTTGGGTAGTCAGTCCTGTTTGGGCTGTTGTTATCTGAAGGCAGAACCTTTCCCTTTTGTTTCACCCGGTTCTGTCTCTCTTGGGTAGTCAGTCCTGCTTGGGCTTTTGATATCTGAAGGCAGAACCTATCCCTTTTTTTCACCCGGTTCTGTCTCTCTTAAGTAGTCAGTCCTATTTGGGCTGTTGTTATCTGAAGGCAGAACCTTTCCCTTTTTTTAAAGATTTTACTCCTTTAGTGATCTCTTTAAATATATTACTTCCTTAGCATTTAGCCAATTATATGGTGCCGGCGGAGGGTACAAAAAAACTCCATTATATATTTCTTTACAGGCCAATATTATCGGAAAAAACCCAAACAAACAAACAAAATGAGTTCTGTTGCGCTGTGTGATCCATGAGTGTCCTCATCGCGGTTAGGGCTTGCTGTTGTTTGCGGTATTATTTTCCGGAGTGGACATACCATTACTACATTTTTGTTAGCGTTAAAAAAATCGGAAATACATAGTTTTGGTAAAAAACTTCATCTTTTTTAACTCTTAACGACTGTCGAGTTGTGTGTATCAATAGAGTGGGTCAGCAAATTTGCATTCTATGTTGCGCAAGGGGCAAGAGAAAATGGTTGACTCCCCGCGAGTGAAGCTGACGCTCTAGGTCGATTTCGATCTATTATTATCCTTTGCAAACAAAATTTCGATTATGGAGTTAAATTATAAAATTACTTTGGCTTACATTGTGCGCTTTAAAGTAAACTTGAGTTGTTAGATCCACGCGAGGGTTTAACCTTGGAAAATGCAATCACGCGAGTGACGCGTGTCCCTATCTGGAAAACATTCGCCATGCAATTTGGACGCCGAAAAGTGCCCAAAAAGTAATTACTGAAAATTCATCCGCAACACCTCGGTCGTTCTGTGGGCGCGAAGTCAGTTCTTCTCTTACAGTTAATAATTGCCAGGCGGATCTCAGATCCGCCTCAGCCTCATTTGCATAAATTCTTTTGGTGAGCAAAGCTCGTCATGTCACCTAAAGAAATCCTGGCCTTAGTTCTGAGTGCGTCTTTTCTTTTGGTCCTGATTTGGCGAAGGCGGTTTTAAAGCATGTTTGAGCAAGATTTCCGTTTAGCCCGTTACTCGTCTATGCACATTTTTCTTTGTTAAGAAACGAGAAACAATAACGACTCAGTTGATTTCCTCTCGGAATGCCGCGGCTCTGTTTGCGGTCTTTGATCTGTTTCCTTTATTCACAGGCACGTTACTTCAAAAATGCATCGCTTGTTATCTGACCGCTTTCTTTGTAGAAAAGAACCCGATTTAGCGAATTTTCCATTTTTAAAGCTTCGGCTTATGTCGTTAGGTGAGGTATTTTTTATTGAGAATTTGACTTATTTTTTGGCCATGACTCCTTTGTCTGTTTCTCGTTCTTAAAGCGTCGTGAAGCATGAAGCTTATATCATTAATGCACTTCAAGTAAACAACAAAACATTCTCGAATGTACTTAAACATTATAATGTCATTTCGTGATTTACAGTCGAAGCTGCATTAAGCGGCGCCGTATTATACGGTCATCCCGTATTAAGCGGTCAGTTGTCCCGAATTTGTTTTCCCATAAACAGTAACTTTTAATCCCAAAATCAAAGAAGTGAGATCAAAGTTGTACAATTAAAGAGCGAGATTCTGTGTATTAAGTGGTGCTTGTCGACGTTCGTTTTCACTTTGTAAATTTAACTTATGCGTGCGTTTGTGCTCACGCTTGTGCTTGCTTCGCTAATGAAAACCAAGCTTTACGCCATTGGTTACTAGAATACCTGATTACTGATTCCACGGGGTAAATTTTGCTTTAGATCTAATGCACTAGAGGAAGTAGAGCTGTCAATAACTTCTAAAGAAGTACTGGTAGCAATTGACGAGGAGCCTGTGCCCACCGCGGTTGCGGTTGATGAGGATCGGGTCGAGGAGGAAATTCCAGCTGATTTTGGTATGTATGATCACAGAGAGTCCTATAGGGATTCATAATATCGTGCCTTGATTCATTATTGATCTACCTGTTAAAGAATTTTGTGGATACAGTCAGTTTGGTTTGTCTTGAATGCCACAGATATTAACTAAACGATTGGGTTGGGCTGGTGAGGAGGATAATCACCACAAAAAAGAAAAAGGCACCAGAAGTTTACTCGGTATATATATTGACTCCCTTATAAAGCTTAAGTTAACGCCATTTTCAGCGGATCTGCACTGGGCTTGGTTTTTGTGGTCAATGCACGCATTTTGGCTTCTTATGTGTTGGACTAAGGACTAGAAAAAGCCTTTCACACCGTTTTTTTTTGTGACTGGAAAAAAAAATTGAATTATATCATATCATGTCTTCACAATACTCGTTTTCTATGCCTTGCGTTTCCAACTGGTTGAATTAGATTCTTTGTTTGAGTCAAAGCTCACTGGGAAAGTAATTTGCCATCTCTTCGTCAAGGAGTACGGTGACCAATGATTTCATTCTCATTTTTATTTCCGTAGAGGAAAAGCTCATTTCTACAAGCAACAACTGCACAGAATTATGTGATGAACTCAATTAACTCGGCGGCTGTTAGTGGCTGTTGCCAACGATCTCGCATGGTTTATCTCAAATAACTTGTTTTGCCTCCACTTCGGCAAATATAGTGCACAGTTTGACAACTGTTGCAATTCTTTTTCAGAATAAGCTTATTAGTAGCGATGTGGACAGCGTCTGTGTCTGTTCTCTGATAGATGATAAGAAAACTAATCAAAATGTGTGAACGACTAAGCGTATTCCTACTTATAGATGAACAATGGCGTCTAAATTTGGTTAAAAAACGAAAAAATAAACATCAGCGACATACTCATGCGTCTTTACCTCATGTGTTGCCTTTTTTTCGTTCTACCAAATTTTGACATCACTTATGATGTACCTTTGTCTGAAAAAACACATAGCAAAATTTGGAATAAATTTCCTTTCTATCATCTATCTGTAGAACCAGAGGACGAGCATGGGGGTATTGATGCTTCTACTCAACAACTGCAACGTGAAAGTAAGTGGAAGAGGGCATCAAGAAAGACATAAACACAAGACGAAAATAAACAGACTCTTAAAACAATAGTGTAATTGTGTTACAAAGTCAACGTGCATTCATTTCGTCTATTCAAAGTCTTTTCCTTCCCCGAAGACTGTTCATCACATGAGAAACGAGGGCCACATTGAGAGGGTGGTGGAATTCAAACTTACTTCTTTTTCGGTGGTTGTTTAATTGAAAAATGTCCATACTTGTGAATCGGCATTCTTGCGTGTGTCTGATTGTTTTATAGAAACAGAGAAGGATCTGGATGATGCTCTGCGTAAGGGTGATTTCGATGCGATTAATCAAACGTTGACTCCAAAAACCCTGGCAAGGTGTAAAACTAATTCCTTACTCAAATCTCTTCAGGTTGGTCTTGTAATTTTATATTTACCAATTTTACCGATATACTTTACTTTAGGCTGTTTCGCCAGACTAGGTGAAAAATGTAATCCTTATTCACTGTGGTTTTGTTTCACCACTCCATATGATTAGCTCGTCATACGCATACAACTCTCTCAACTGATTAGCGTCAAAACTATAACCAGTCGTAACTTCTCCACTGTCCGAGAGTGTCCTTGTATCTTTATCACCCTTAAAGGATCACTGGCTTGCAGTTATATCTTGTTTTTGTTCTTACTGGTCATCGAGGTCTCTGTGTGCTAATTTACGACAGAAAATTTAAAAAACTCTCCTGCTATGTGCAACAATTGGAGGCTAACAAGAGATCAGAAACATTATCATTGATTTTTACAAGCCATTTGATAAAGAAGATAACTTCATTTCTTTTTAAACTTAGGTAAACAAAGCACTGAAAGATTTAGTACATGGTGCGAACCCGGAGAAAGACGATATAGAACAGCTAGAAAAATCTATAGGCGAGTTCGCAGCAGCCTTGATAGATCCTCTTAAAGCCGACGACGATACCAGAAATACATTTCAAAGTTGTTTTGATGATGTGGTGGACAAGGCAATTGACACAAAGCAGAAGAAGGTACTACATAAGTGATAAAAAAGGTTTCTAATGAATAGTTTCTGATATCCTTCAGCGCTAAAGTCGATTTTAGTGGGAATGCTGTCGCCCATCTGATCACATAGGTGCCCTTACCTTTACATGCAGTGTAAGTAAGGAAAGAAGAAAGACACTTAACATTATTATATGCCTAGACTTTCAGTCAACAAAACGAGCACGAGGATCGATTCTATATTCGTTTCTTCAACCGCAGCGCGCACATATGATCTTTGTATGTTTACAGCCATTATTCACCACTTCGAAGGTTTATTTGGATCCAACATAATAAACAGCTCTCAGTTGGCTTGTTAGGTAGAGCGCTGCACCAGTATCGCAGAGGTCATGGGTTCAAATCCCGTACGGGCCTGAATTTTTTTTTTTCAGTCCTTATTTTAACTACTAGTTCAGTGGTGTTCATAACCGCGAGGATCGATTCTATATTCGAGCACTGTGATTGGTTGATTCTTGGTCACGTGCCCTTGATTAAATTCAAATGTATCCCGACCGGGATACAATTGCGCAGTTGTTGCTCGCGCGCCGAATACAACAGCATGTTTTTGCCACATGATTGTTTAAAGGAAAGTCTAAATATGTAACAAAGCACTTAATATATGGTCCCTCGGGAAACTAGTTAGTTTTGTTTTCCCTCGAGTCCTGATGTTTCCCGAGACTTCAAAACTAACTGTTTCCCGAGGGACTTTACATTAAGTGAATAATGCTCCCACCAATCACCACCAGTGAAAGCTTCCTCGCCGGTGTGATATTACAAAGGGGAAAAGATACTTTTAAGATTTATGCACACAATATTACGATATACTTGGTGCCAATCAAATGTACAGGACGTCATTTTTATGTCTCTCTACTTTATGTTCAAAGGGGCAATTAATCAATTTCCAGTGAAAGAAACTATATTCTAGTGAATCTACTGAATGATTTGAGGCCAAACTGAATGATTTAAAGACACTGAACACACCCACAGCTCGACGCCATCGCCAATCCAGCCAAAAATTATTTTCTACCTTAAATTGTCTTAATTTTTCTTCTAAAAAATCTTTCACATCCTTGCTTTAGCAGTTCTCTTCTGTTGTAGATCACAGTTGACGTAAAAATGTGGTAAGAACAAAATGGTGGCACATGATGCGTGGTCGGGTGTGTCACTGATATGTCGCTAGAATTGTTTTGAATTTAATGAAGCCAAACTTTGTTCATGCTGACGTCCCCTCTGAGATTCTCCTCTGATAAGTAATAAGCATGAACCAATTCAAATTCGACTTATTGTGTAAAACAATTTATCCACGAATTTTTTCGCAGTTCATCTTTCACCCAGTGGTGTATAACTTGCTTAACTCCAGATGGTACCGCTCCTTTTTTCACGTAAGAAAAGAATCATGGCGGACACCTAAACGCTGGGGATACTTTTTTCTCAACCTCTGGACGGTGTTTGACATCTTCTTTTTTCCCTTTCTCTTTGCCATTTTCTTCGTCGTGCATTTGGTAAAACGGGCCTTGAGGAGGAAAAGAGGTTTGTAATATCGTTTTGTTAGCATTCGTTAAAGTAGTTGACATGGTATAGTAGATGGTAACGCGTTTTTAGTAAGCTCTCAGGTATTCCAAAGGTTTGGGCCTGAAGGGGGTGAGGGGTGGGGCGCGGAAGGTGATGGCTTTTCTGTAGTTTATTTCTAACTCTAGAAAACTGAGTCCTCTCAATTTAAAAAAATGCAGAAGTCCTTAGTAAGGCTATGCGCGAAGCGCGGGTCACGCATTTTTCTTCCCTGGCACGTGAAACGCGCACCATGCTTGCCTCGTGCTTGCAAAAAAACTAAGCCTGTTTTGCAGGCTACATCGTTCAAGGAGCGTTTACAGGCCTGGTATTTGTTCCCACCTGATCATAATAGTCTTAAGAATGGTTGAGATTGCTAAGTCTTGAGATTAGATACAAGCAGCTACTGGAGAGTTGTTGTGGTGCATGGTATCAGTTGTTGCATGTTTCCTTTATCGATCTGTGGTTTAATCCGCTTTCCTTGATCATTTTTCAGAAACTAAAATATGTTTTGTTTTGACGCTGGGCAAAGATACCTCAGAAGAAGAATTTAATCTGGTTAAAGGGACGATAAACTACATTGTTCGTGAATATGGCTGCCACTCTGCCAAATACTGTGTTGTTTTACATGAAGACCACAAAATTATCGGTAACATCAACTTTAAAGAGAGGTACACTACTGAGGCTGCACTTCGAGCAAAGATTGACCAGTTACAGCGGCCAAACTCTGCCAGTTCACTCGTTGAAGATCTTGTGGCCACCCAAAGTGTTTTCATGGACCAAACACTTGGGAAGGAGGCCAAAAAGGTGAGGTATACGTGCGTGCAACCGTTTTCCGGAGCGCTGTCAAGTTTTGCCCTTAACTTGTTTCCATGGGCTCATTTTGCAGTCATGGGCTGGTTATCAGACCTTGGTAGGTTATTCCTACCAATTCATATTCAATGTTGATTTAATTTGACGACCACACGCGACAGTTGATTTATGTTTAAATCATAAGTACAAATCATGTTTTAGTTAGTGTCATGGCTCATGGGCCGGCCTCTTGCATTTGCCTTCTTGCTGAAGAACTCAGACTTTCCCCTCTCGCTTCAAGCTTTTAAACCCGCTGTTACGCCGAATAATCAAGCTTTTATTCTCTTTCTCTGTCAGATATCAGCAAGAGAAAAACATGTCCCACTATTTTCCTTAGGTATCAGTAAATAGCAATAACCTTTACAAGATTGCTATTGGCTCGTAATCTTCCCGTCTTTTTTGAGAACTATTGCGTAAAACTCCTCGGAAATTTTGTTCAGGACCTCTGGTACGTCTATTTTGAGAAATTTGTCTTTTAAGTCCCAAAACTTCCAGACTTTTAGCCGGATGTTTGTGCTTTTTGAAGTATCTTTGTTGTGAGTATTCTCCTGTAAACTCTGAACTAAAACGTGGTTACTTTCCAATAACCTGTCCGCCATTTTGTTCTGCTGTGCTTTCGCGACTTTCTTGACAATCGATTTAATTTCAACTTTCTGCAATCCATTTCACTTTTTGCATTCAGTTTCAACTCTCTGCACAGTTTGGGTTAATTGACGCCTTCTCAGTCAATGAGCATGCTGAAATTTTTGCATTACATGTACATAACGGCTACCGTTATTAGTTGTGTGAACAGATTAATTAAACGGCGAAATAAACAAAACCATCAATAACTTATGCAATAGATCTAGTAGTTAAGATACTTACAAGCACATCAGCAATATTCACTGCGAATCCAATCATTGTCGTTGAAAGTGTTTGTTTTTTCACTGAAAAAAATTCAAGCATCTCTTTCATAAGAAGGCTGGTGTAGTTTCAAGATTGGTAAGTTTGGGCTCATATTTGATAAAACTTGTAAATTTGGTTTTGAGAACCAAAGGGATAAATATCACCTTTTTTTAATTTTATGTTTACATTAGGTGGTCGTGCTCTTTCTTAATTACTCGTTACACAAGGTTATGGCTGACACCGAAAGACCACCGCCCTTAGTAGAGGAGATACAGGGTATGCAAGTTAACATCTTTCCCGTCGGTATCGGGGAGAACGCCAAATTATCAGAGTTAAATAAGATGGCAAGTAAAGGTAGCACAGCACGCCACTTTGGAGAATACGAGTCACCCGAGAGGTTGGGGACAGCTGTCATACAAGGTAACCTGGGGAGGTTTAAAGTTATGATTTTAAAAAACCCTTCTTAGAACGATTATTCTCCCATTTGGTTTGGGAAAAAATAAGAAAGTATTGCATGCAGTTGTTACAGTTCGAATTGAGGAAGGTTTTAAACGGTGCTATATTCAAAAAAGCTTTAACTTTTCTCCCCACTGCTCGGAAGTGTAACTGGCTTTATAATTGATATGTTTTACTTTCTTACAGGTATCGAGGGAAAGAACATCTATGGTGAGGACGGGCTATTTTTGTTAGCTAGATTTCCAAAGACCGTTAAACTTTTTTTTCTGATGATTTTTGCTAAAACGTCAGTGCTTTCCGAGTTTTCTTTTGATGGTCTCCATTCTATGCTAGCGTCTCAATCATTGTCCTACCGAGTACAACTATGATTACTATGATGTCTTCCAGAGAAATACAAGGATTACTTTACGACTCCTTATTTCATCTTTTTCCGCGACACGCTGAGCTATCTCACCCTCCTTGGTCTTCACTTCGCCATTTGCCTGTTCCCTTCATCTGTTGCCTTCAGTCGACTAGAATGGGCCATTTTAGTTTTCTTCTTGGGACGCGTTGTGATGGAGGTGGATCAGTTTATTAGTGTTAAGGAGGCTGGAATGAAAGCACAAAAGCTGTGGAGGAGGAATAGGGATGGCTCCAGCTACCAAGTACGTTCACATGAGGGTCACCAAGAGACAAATGAGGCAGAAGAAGACAATATCCTGCGAAAGAAGCTTAGTAATTATTTCAGGTATTTGAGATTTTTTTTGTCCGTTTTCTAGTGACAATAGTAGATTCTCATTCATATGGGAGTATGATCAGCCAGGAAGGATGGGGAAAAAGAGTTTACAGCTTGAAGAAGGTAACAAAATGAGCCACTGTTCTCAGCTTAGGTGCACTGGTCATTTTATGAGGGCTACACCATCACTCATGAGGTGACATTGTTCACTGTCTTTGTTCATCGATAGAAACCGGTGTTTATTGTTTCAGTACATCAGTAGTTAGCTCGTACCCATTGTAACAACAAATAGTGGTACATGCAAGAACTGATTATCTTGCTTCATAATTGTGCAAGGTCTAGCTATTCACGGATTACATTAAATATATAATGGTCTTCTAGTACTGATATCTACTACTTTTTTAGTGACCGTTGGAATGTGCTTGACTTCATCATTCTTGTTTTCTACCTGATTACCTTCATACTACGCATAATTACATTGAGGAACTCCACGGACGTGTCAGACAACAGACTCTTGGCTGTGTCAGAGTATTTCTATGGATTTATCGCCATGTTTCTCACACTGAGAGCCTTTGGTCAAGTCATAGAGGGCGTGCGGGGGGTGGGTGCAATACAAATCGCTTTGTTCTTTGTTATCTGGGATGTAATGGCGATATTTTGGCAGTTTTTGGCAATTATTCTGGCATTTTCTCTGGCTATGACCAAGATATATGTTGCTGAGAAGGCCTCTACCTTAGGAAAAGATTCCGCGGAGGATTTGTGAGTACATGTTGCGATTTTTCTCAATCATCGAAACCGTGAACGACAGATTCTAAATTGTTGGGTCTCTTCATTTGTTACTCTTTTTAGTGATGGGGTGGAAGAGCTTTCCTTTAACGTTATGGAGGGAAACCTCATGTCTGTCTAGGCACCCACTGTAGGAAACAGTAGGCCATGGGAAGCCTAACAGGAGAGTAAAACTACTCGGATCAGAATATGAAACGTTGCATGAAAGACTAATTTTTTACAGTCTTTATGAATATTCACGCAGGAAATTTCAGAAACAGGCCTCAATAAATAAGTCAGTGCGTAGCTCAACCACTACACCAAAGGTTTAAGATCAAATTATGATAGCCTGTAACCCATTAACTATAATCATCGCTGGGTCAGTCGAAGTCATAAATTGTGAGGTCAGTGAGTTGCTATACACTGACTTTTGGTGCTTCTGGAAGTACCAAAATTTATGGGTCCAGGAATTTTAGTTAACAATTTCTCTGGAGCAACACAACCGTGTAAAATAAAATTCGGAGGGAGGAGGAATGGTGGTGATGTAACTTTGATAATTCATGTTGGTTAAACCGTAAACTGTGGCAACGGTTTCCTTAACCATTCATTTTCTTCTATCATTTTTAGGGCATGCAGTGATTCCGGGCTAATTTGGTAAGAGTAAAACTGTTGCGTTTTTTTTTTCTACTCTAATTTTAACTTTGTACTCTGATGTCTGAAATATACCAGGTTACACGAAATTTTTGCTATACTTGAATTAGTTAAAAAACTTTCAAGCGTGAAATTCTATACCTGAGGCGTCGGAAAAGTGAATTAAGGTCTCCCGAGAGAAAAAAAAAGGGAAAAAAACCATACTGATGTGTTAAAATAAGTACTGTTGTTCAACCACGAGCTTTACCAGCTTCATCATAAAAATTTACAGGGAAGACGCTCTTTCCTTTCATAGCAGCAGATTTACTAGAACAAGAAGCAGAGCTGCGAGTGAAGAAACCCTCTTTGCTCCCCATCCCTCTCGCGGCTTCCCTTCCAGTTAATTAACGCTACTTCGCCAACTAATTATAAACCTGTTGAAAGGCCAGCCCAGCTATTAGTTTACCTTCTTAAGAGGTACCTTACGGTTTCTCCTTCTGGAAAAATCCGGACTTTAGCGTTGCTATTTCTTTTGACTAGTGATATCCCTCAGGTTTAAGGTTATCTTGTAATATTTTAGATACCAACACGTAAATGTGTTGATCTTTGACTTAATGGAGCTGACCAGGAATCTTGAGAACAAATTTTGTAATCGATGATCCATCTATGAGCAGTGACATGATGGCCTCTAGGACACAGACGTTTAAAAACATTTATTGCGGTCATGACGATCTCAATTTAAAAAATTGAGTGGTTTTTGCTCTAACTCGTTGCTTATGTTCTTCAGTTGGTGGAACATAGCGACACACCTTTGTTGGTCTTTACTGGGTTTAGCTGACCTGGATAGGTTGAATTCCGTCGACAATCCTTCCGTTTCCCTTGTTCGTGTGCTGTACAGCTTCTTCTTAATCCTGGCAGTGGTTCTTCTCGTGAACATGATGATTGCGTTGCTCTCCAATACCTATCAGCAGGTTCAGGTACTAAACAGTCTCTCAGCCTTCGCTGATGGATAGTAATTCTGTTCATAATCCAGAGTTAAGAAAACATGAGAAGTTCTCGACTGTAAACTTGGTGGAACTTTTTTTGGCGTAAGATATAAAATATATTTTCTGCAAAGTTCAAAAGATTCTATGATTATCTGTAATTGTACTTTTGGCCAACTGACACTTAAGACGAAAATGATGGTGAATATTGTCCCGTGGGTATGATATATCAAAAATATTCTTCCGCTGAAGGAGTGTCGCTTGTTGTTTTTATTAACCGGTACTTCCTTAGAAGCTGTTAAGTCCCTCTCATTCCTCTATTATCAGGATAATTCACTGCAGGAGTGGTCTTTCAAGAGAGCCATTACTGTAAGAACTTACAGCACCTATCACCCGATACCAGTGCCCTTCAACCTTTTGTCTGTCCCCCTGATAATACTCTGGAACCTATGTTGGCGCGACACTCCTGCTTCGCTCAAGGGCGGACGGGTAAGCTGCGGCCTTGCCAATTAGTTTTGTGAGTTTTAACAAGCTGCTGTTGTTTAAAGTTATCGTTCACGTCTGCTCAGTGATTTTACTTCACTTTCGATGTGGCCTTCTTTGATTCGACAGAGAGTAGCTCTGAATAAAGTGGTGAAGAAACTAGAAAGGATGTACTTCGAGAAATACGGTTATGAATTTCCCCTCACAGGTGGGTGATATGCTAGATTAGTAGATAGCCCCAGAAATCTATGATATGATCATAAAAAAGAATATGGCGGAAAGAGATGTTTTTCTACTAAACCTTGCTTCGCTATGATCAAAGTAATAGTTCTAAAGAAGTTTATACCATGACAGACAAGAAATAAAAAATCACAAATTAAGAATTCCAGTAATGATAATCTATTTATAACGAGGCGTATCGTAATGATTTTGCTGACTAGATTCAGAAGAGGCCAATTTAATATTTGGTTCCTCGCTTTGTTTTAGAAGGGAAAAAGATAGATCACTTGGTGCAAGAAAATGAGGGAGGACGAAAATTGGCCAATCAGATAGTTCGGCAAGTATTCCGACCGCGTGGAAACAAGGAGGAGAAACTTGCGTCTGGCCACAGAGTGAGTGTTTTTGAGGTTCACATTCACATGTTAATTAAACAGGAAGTTTCCCTACCATATACTATGGATCTTGCTCCATCAGGATACACCTTTTTAACCATTTTAATTTGCATTTTAACCTTTTCCCTCGCACAAAAATTTAAATGTACGATTGAGAAAATCTTTCAAGAAACGTTCTGCTGTAGTTTCCTTGTTCCCTTGAAAAAAAACCGAGCTTGTTTTGTAGTGACATAGAAAAGCTGATCTCAAATGCTTCTCCGGGAAGTACCAGAAAATCAACAAAATTTGCTCTCGACGCGCGATACGAAAATTAATGGGAGGGTTATAGCTTGAATAAAGCCCCTTCTGGCTTGCTGGTATGTCGGCTGACAATGTCCCTGGTTGAGAGATTGTCTTTAAGTTTTCAAATTTCTCCTTGAAGCTTTGGTTCTTGGCCAAATGTTCATTCTTGGACAATGTCTTAGCCGCAGACATTTTCAGGTGACATACCAGCCGCCTGAAGGGGTCCCTTGTGTTACTGAAATTTTGTTCGATTGTCATTTTAAGGCGTGGTATGATTCGCCGGGAATTGCTGTCGATGGCTGTCTCCTAACTTACGTGGGACCTAATTTCTGCAACATATGCAAAAGTGGAAATCGTAAGAACATTCACAGTGCCAAGTTCAAGTCTCCCTTTACACCAGAGACACCAAGATTCGAGGTGTGCTTTTGATTTATAGAAAATTATTTGCAAACAAAAAATTTAATTCATATACTTCCTGCTTCATGATAGATTCTCTGAAGATGCAACATAATTACATTGCCTTTTTACCCTCTTCTCTTAAATAACCTCCCTCTTGTTGGCGCTGGTATTCTTTTCTATTTTGTAGCACTACAGATACTAATGTTTTTAAGAATGAACTTAAAGGTGCCAGAAAGACCAGACCGGTTCCTGAAAAACATATTTATGTTCCTCTTGTGGTATCCTATTTTCACCTTTGCTTTCATGGTAACGTGTCAACATGGATCTCGTTTGGGCACTTAACCCTGTAACACCTAAGAGTGACTATGATGTAATTTTTCCTCACATTGTTATCCCTGAGTCGAACATTAGGGTCACATGGATAAAGTAAATGATCACCAACCGAAAAAGCTCTTCATTGTTTAAATAATTCTTCCTTATCAGCACAATTGTATAGAGTACAGCATGGAGAATATTCATAATGATGTTAGGGTATGAAAGGTTAAATTTATCTCCTTGCTCCACTTCGTTGAGGTGCATTTCAGGGTCAAGTTATAAGGCCTTAGATGGCCACCTTTGAATAGCGTGATGGTGCCTTCGTTCAGCCGAAATTCCTTTTTGGATTAATCGTTTATATTTATATTATTATTGTCGTTATTATTATTGCTTTGTAATCATCATCATTATTGCAGTTGTTATTATGGCTGCTTTTGTTGTTTATATGATCATTATTTCGGATGTTGGTTGTTTATATTATCACTAACATCGTCTTTATTATCGTTATTATTTTGCTTTGGTCTAAGAAACTAGTATTCCCTCGGTCTCATGAGCAAAAAAACTCATTTGCATACTGAAACAAAAATTAAAAACATGGGACTTATGGCAACCGTAACAACAAAGTCTAAAAAAAAGAGTCTGTCATTGTTTTGCAGGTACTTATTCAGGAGACTGGAGAGAGACGTATTGCGGCACTGGGTGCTGTGCATGAGTCGTACGACTGTCACAAAATGCCTGGCTGGGATAGTGGAACAGTCGGTTACCACGTAGACGATGGTAAAATATTTGAAACCGGCTTCCATGAGCTGGGAAGAGAAGTCGAAGGTATGGGTTACTCTGACGATAGGTGTACGATATCTGCCACAAGGATCTGTTGGCGTTTGGAAACATAATCAAAGTCTTACCGTCCTTCTGAGGGCGACCTTACGACAGTAGGTTTCTGTTTTCCAAAAGAAAAAGATTCAGAAATTTTCGTTTGTAAACGTTGTAGGGATCACTTTAAAATCGTTATAGACTCCTCGAGATGATTATTCTGACGTGCATGAGATAAATGGGAAATGTATTGTAGCTGTATGACCAAGATAGAATGTTGAACGTAGTTGCTGTAAAATCCATGTGCCTAGAGTGTGAAACTGAAAAAACCCTGAATCCTTCGATCGTGGGGGGTTCCAACCCTCACCTTCTGCTTGCCGATCAAATGGTCTACAGAGAACTCATTTAAGGCCAAAGAAAAACGAGATTCATATCAACAAATGCTTGACGCTGCTAGGATCATTTATATCGTCAACACTTCTTGTATAAATACAGTGAGGGAGATTAAACTTTGTCTTCGAATGAACGAGGAGGTAGGTCATTGATCAAGACCGAACAAAAAGGAAAAAAGTCCAATTTCACATCCTAGTGTTACACGGTTGGTTGCCTCATGTACTTAATGTTTTCTGTTGATAACTTAGGAGCTATGGCTTACCGCGGTGATCTCATCGCATGTGAAGTTGATTTTAGTGGAGTCCTCGAGGGCAAAGTCTCTGTGTTGTTCTCCTTGAACGGTAGAGAAGTAGTGCGTTCTTCAGTGGAGTATACAGAGGGAAATAAACTATTTCCTTTCGTTTCATTGGGATCTGAAGGCATTACAGTGCTCACCAAGGTATGTTCGAAAGAAGGAGGGGGGAGCGGGGAGCGGGGAGGGGGAGGGGGGAGCAGGGAGGGTGAGGGAGAGGGTAATGGGCTAGAAATTGAATCTATAAATGGTTTGGTTTCATGCTAACATATCACGCCTCGGCACACTCCTCCTGTTACAGTCGGGGGATTGGTCATGAGACCAAATTAGAAGCATGTGGCGAGGAAGAACTTTGTCGTATCCAGTGTTGAAGGACCACTAAAATTTTGTTCACGTTTGAGTAATTTAAATGTTTGCGAACATTTACAAACTATCCAACCTTTTTACCAAAAGGCTGTGCCCTGAATGCTCTGAATGATCTCTGCAGCATATCTGTATTCCACAATGTGAAAATTAGAGCCTATAGTTGACAACTTTTGATCATCGCTGTCCTAAAATTTCTTCTTTTTTATTTTTTAATTGGAGACGTTTGACTTTTGCACGTTTTAGATGTGCCATCCCGACAGAGACCAGTTTAGTAGAGTGACAAATGAAGACCTTCAGAAGGAAATTGGAGATCTGCGACGTGATTTTCAGGATCAACTAGACAAGCAAAGGAGGATGTTAATGTCAGAAATGAGAGATTTAGTACTGCGTTTGAAGGAAGTAAAGGATAAAGAAGAAAAAGAAGAAGATACTAAGAGGCTGGACGGAGGAAAACAAAGAAGATTTTCATCACCCCAGTAGTTGTTCGAGAACATTTATTCAGCTTAGGTGCAATCTAAATTTGTGTGAATCCCTGTATCTTTCTTAAACTTCCTCTAGTCTCGAATGAAGATAGCAGCAGAAGAAATTTTTTTTATCTAATACTAGACTAATATTTTTATCGAATGTAAGCGCGAGGCGGGCACGAAGGGCGAGTCACACGAAAGGAGAGAAATATACATCTGAGCAACTGATGCATATGTGATCCCGGTGAATAAAATGATCCTCAAGTATGCACTGCAATGAACCCGGGAAATTTCGAATTGATCGGCGCATAAGATCATATAGGGGGTATTTACGTAGACTATAGTTGGCGAGGTCCGTTATACCAGTCGAAGAAAAAATCAGCCGCAGAACTCTCGGAGTGAGGTGCAGCGCGCTGACATCATAATTATTATTTTTTTTCTCATTGTTTTCTATTTTATCCCCGTAACAGACTTCGGTGTATCTGTCATAGTCTGTGTGTCAATTAGAAAAAAAAAGGAAAAAGGAAGAGCGCATGTACACTTTTGAATAAATTGTATTGATGCTGTAAGGAGAAATTATCTCTTGGTCATCCATGGGAATTAAAGGTTCCACATTGGTTTTCTCTCTTACCTGATATTTCTTGGAATAAATGGGCTTAAATAGGTTTTTTTTTCTTGGAGAAGTGTTGGTCTTCATAATTTGCAATAGTAAACCTTGTAAAATATGTCAATCAATCTTTTCTTTTTGTCTAGGTTTAGCCTTAATGAATGGTTCAGTAAAAAATTGTATTACATAGTAACTCTGATGGCGTACAAACTCCCAAGAAAATAAAAGTCTTGACTGACCAGGATATTTTTGAAGAAAGAGTTGTTTGAAGAGTATGATTAACAACTCATTTTCGCAGGTGGAACTAAAGATGCTGGTAAATTAGGAATGAGTTGTTAAAAAACAGGAAAATGCAAACCCACGCAATTTTATTGAAAAGACTTTCAATAATGTCACGTGAACGTTATATAAAGCAAGAATAATCACTAGTGAGTTTCAAATTTCTAAAAAACATAAATCATGTTGTAAGCAATTATAAATATCTAATTTGAAGAGATACTCTTTCGCTAAGTCTGACTCAGCAACATTTAGTTGGCTTTTATGAATATTTTAATATGGAAGGTAGCCAGAAAGTAAAAATAGTTTGGACTGGCCGTTGTTGTTCATATTTTTTCTTGGCAAATGGTGAAAAGAATTAGGAGCAAATTGCGACAATTACTCTCTTCGTTTTGTAGCAGCATATATAAAATGGCTTAATTGCTCCTACTTTTGTTCCACAGTCATATCCAGCATGTCTAGATTTATACTTTTGCGTATCAGACACTTGTTCCCTTTGTAGCCGTTTTTGCGACGTCATGCAACTGATGCACGTTGCGTGACATCCCATAAAAGGCTGCGAGATATACCGGTATTCGGCAGTTTCATTGAATCATTTACGAAAGTATTATGTGGATACCTAGTTCAACTTTATTTTCGAACTTAAAAAATATCCGGCTTTGTAAAAGATGAGGAGGTTCCTTAGTATTTGCAAAGAGTAATTTTGTGAGAGGATGAATTGTTTACGCATTCAGATTGGTTCTCGCCTATGATCTATTGGAGGACAGACGTGTAGAAGATCTATGAGCAGTTTATTAGCAAGATCATCTGGGAGCCCTTCCGTTTACCCTGAAAGATGATAAATGGTTCCTAGTCCCCCACATTGCAAGTTTACCCCCTCCCCGACGAGTTCGCGACGACTAGCACGAGTTTGCTCCCAAATGCTTTTTAAAAATCCTTCACTCTTGGCAAAAAATATTCTTCGTGAACAGACATGTTGTGTAAGACTCGGAGGAAAGACCCCACGTTATCCGAAAACATTGGAGATTTCGCTACCTTCAATGGATCACAATCTTCCGCCTATGCTAAGGAAATGTTGAAAACAGAAAGATACCGATTCCTCTTCTATGCCAAGAAACCTCCCAAAATTCAACAATTTACCCACGTGCAGCGTCACTGAGAAAAAATAAGGCCAATATTCCAAAAATATCTTATTTGCTCTTATTTAATTTTGCCCTGTTCTCACCGCGCCTTCTTTCACAAGTTTCAGACCAACTCAAATCAAATATTTATACCATGAAAATCTTGCTGGTCCGGCGAAGAAATATCCATTTTGTTAAATGTGTTATGACAGCTGTACTGACTACTTGTGCGCACTACCGAAAAAAAACGTGAACAACTTCGCTATTTTCTAAGACTACGGCTTCCTGGGGAATAATTATTTTTGTAACCTAGAAAATAACAAAAAAGGAAAAGATCTGCATTAAGAGTATATTCGTTGATGAAAATAGTCGGAGAACAAAACCAACGGAGATACTGACGGAATTCGAAAACTTCTATTCTAAACTTTACAAGGAAAATTCACTTACTTTGGGTGATTCTATGAATAACTTTCTTAATGGAGCGAACAATGGCAAACAGTATTTATCTAAAAAGTTCAATCGAATTTAATCGTTCAGGCAAAACAAAACATCAGGAAATGATGGCCCAACTTCCGAATTTTACTTACCGTTTGGAAGTCTTTTGGAAAATCATTTCATAGACTCTTTACACTTCTCCCATGTTCATGATCAACTCTATTCTTCTCAGAGACGAGTATTGGTGATTGTTTTGGGAAAAAAAGATTAGAATAGTCGTTTGATCCAAAATTGGCGCCCTATCTCACTAACAAATGTCGATTTGAGAATAGTTTCAGAAGCCTTACTAAGGGGCTCGAACTTTTTCTCACCGAAATTATTCATTACAACCAAAATTGATTTGTGAAATGACGGTCTGTGTTTGATGCATTGTGGACCATCGGGGATAGTTTGGGAATGAAAAATAGCTCTGGGATCCTGGTTGTTATCAAATTTGAAAAAGCAAATGATTCTGTTGCCCATGATTTTCTATTTAAAGTTTCGGAAAAATTTAACTTTGGATCGTATTTCAAGCAGTGGATAAGAACTTTTTATACAGATATATCAAGTTATGTTATGAATAACGGTTTCAGTTACAAACTCTCCTTTGTACAGAGCATAGGGTTCTTCAAGATGATCCTCTCTTACATTTCTTTTTTATTATGGACCTGAAAATTTTTGCGTGTTAAATTAGACAGGATAACAATATGGAAGGAATAAAATTTACCTGCATTCGCTGATGATATGACCAGTTTTTCAAAGATATGCGTGCACTTATGTGCGGCTGTTTACGTGTCTAGAGTTATTTTTTGAGATTTTCAGGTAATCAATGTAAAAAAAAAAAAAAAAGCGGTGAAAGAATGTTTATCTCTAGCATGTGAATAATTCACTTGCGAAGTGAGGCTTGCTACAAATTGACCAATCACCGTCAAGATTTTTGTGCACTTCAACCTTGATCTGCTACGTGTGTGCGTTAATTTTGTAATCACTCATTGTAGACAGGTTGAGGAAGGAAAACTAGAAGCCAATCGATTCTTAGTTACAGCTGCTATTTTGTAGTACTCCATTCCAGCACATAATCCGTAAGGACTTTCAGCCGTCTTGCGCAGGAAGATAATGGCCGACCTTGGGAAGAAGTAAGTAGTGATTGTCAACACTGTTTTCATTAAATTATTACATCACAACGTGTTCTAATTTGTTGCTAGCGTGATATCTTGAACTCAGGAGAGACTGTTAGTTGTGTGGAACATCACAGATTAAACGGGTTTCCCATCCGGAGTTCATTCGACTTAGCTCTGTTCTGCTATCGAACAATAGACTCCAGGTGTTGAATTGCGGAAACGTTTATGCAAATGTATTTTGACTAAGATTGACTTTGAAATAAGTTACCACATGAGAAACAAAACTTTGTTGAGGTCTTATATTCTTTCAAAATTAATTCACATCAAGAAATCCTGGTCTTCGCTCTGAAAGTGTTTTTTCTTTCAGTCCTGATTTGGCGAAGGTAGTTTTAAAGCATGTTTGAGCAGGATTTCCCGTTACTCATTATGCACACTTTTCTTTGTTAAAAAACAAGAAACGATAGCGACGTAGTTGATTTCCTTTCGGAATGCGGCTCTGTTTGCAGTTTTTGATTTGTTCCCTTTATCCACAGGCGGCCCAAGCTTCAGCTGTAAGATAATCAATAAAAAATTTGAATGTACGATTGAGAAAATCACTCAAGAAATGTTGTGCTGCAATTTCCTTCTACCCTTGAAGAAAACGAACAGTTTTGTAGTGACTAAAATAAGCTGATCTCAAATGCTGCTCCGGAAAGTACAAAAAAGTCAGCAAAATATGCTGCGATACGGAAATGAATGGGAGGGTTGTAAATTGAATAAAACCTCTTCTGGCTTGCTGGCATGTCGGCTTATTATGTCCCTGGTTGAGAGATTATCTTTCGTGTCAACATGGATCTCGTTTGGGCACTTAAGAACAAGTCTCTGTAAGAATCAAACATGTTGGGAAATGAAAATTTTAAACCCTCCTTTAAATTTTGCATGCCGTTAGGCACTCAGGGGGAATGCACAAAAATGCCCTTTTTAAAGGTCGCAGCACTCTTATTGCCATGGTAACAACGGCTGCTTGTTCGAGGCCTGAGGCCTCATTTTCATACAAAAACGTCGCAAAAAAAAAAAAATGTTTATTTCTCTCTCTCAAGCTAAATACAACATTACAAATTGGCACTTATACCATATATAGTAACATCATTCGTCTTCACTTTGATACATTCAATTTTCCCTGGGAGTGAATGTGAACACACCAATAGATTATTTATCTCGGTACAGTTTCGGTCATTTTTGTTGTCGGGTAAAACAGGGAAAACGTTTATCTGAATTTCTCCAAAAGTACCCCGATTCTAGAACTGAAACTACCCACCTAGCTGGTTATAATATTCTATTTTTTTAAATATTTAAAAATCTCTGCGGACCTGCCTCTACTTTTTATAGGGCAATTCATGAAAAGAACTCAAAATCATATTGCATAATTTGGCGATGTTTACATCTAATGTTCTCAACAACAAACGTTTCAGACAAATGAAACGTGCGAGGCTTATAAAGAATGTTATCTTATGAGAAATATCCCGAAGAGAAATCTCGCCTCTGGTTGTCATCTTTTAAAAAACAATTGATCAACCTTCATGGAGGACAACTCGACGTAACTACAAATATATACCTCAAATCGTGTGCATATCATCCAGATTCCGGGTGCTGCGCCTTCTTTCATGGGAATTTGAGGAGTCCGAAATCCTCTGAAGATACACTATTATACTTGTATGTCATTTGAAACATGTTGAAGTCGGCTGATCTACACGAAACTATCCTCACACCGGTCATTTGTCATAAACATGTACGTTATCACGATGACGTGGCGCTGTATTTCTTCGTGAAGTTTCCATCGGTCGCTCCAAAAAAGACGAGAAATGGATATTTTTTTCATATATGTCAGCAGATTTACGCTTTCTGAAGTAAAAACAACCCAAAAAAATAAAAAAAGAGGAAACTTCGATTGAAAGCTCGTAAACACTGAGAATCTGAGAGTATAAATCGTAAGTTGTTAGCGGCAGTAACTCATGTAAAACCCAGTTGCAACAATAGCAATTTGAACGACATAGACATCTCCTACAAAGAACAGATTCGAGCAGTTATCATTTCCTTGTGACAGGAACTAAGATATTTCGAATCATCTGAAAACTGTCAGAAACTGTTAGAAAATTTGCGTAAGATATGATGAGGAGAGACTTATCACCGCCGTGGTGCAGTCGAGTCAATCAATGTTTCCTTCCATGTCTTGATAAAGAAAAACTCATAACAATGTTCGAAATAAAAGATTTAATGAAATCATAATGTCATAATTCCACCTTTCAAACAACTTATTATCCACACGTAAATCGCAACTTGTCACTTGAATGAAACTCCCCATCGTTAATATGTAATCTGGATTGCTTCATGTCCTTCAGGAAAAAGAACAGCGATTTCATCACCATTATTTTCCATACTTTTCTCCCGGATGTCTTTTACAAGCTTAAAGAAAGATGAATATAACGCAATCTCCCGGTGATTTACACGAGAGGAAGTCAAAGGTCTCTTTAATTTTCCCCTGAGGTGGCCGACTCACCAGGAAGAAAAAGGAGATCGTTCGGTCCAAATATGTTGGTCTGTAGAGATTAACAAGCTAATAACTGAGAAGATTGTGCCCTTTGGTTCATCAGTGACAGCATTAATTATTTCAAATCTGTATTTCTCGGTCCAAGCGACACCAAAAATAGTTCCTTCGTAATTTTGTAAGCACTTTCTATAACATTTTATTGTCAAGGGAAATAAATCTCAAGGCTAAAAGCCAATATAACGTTCGAGCACGTGAAAGACTCCCTGAAAAAAGCTAAATTTTTGGAAATTTATTGTGATGAAATCCCTGTTCCGTTTACAGTACTGCAGGGATACTGAGTAGTTCAAAATCTCCACTTTGTGATGATTTTCGCGCGAGTCGTAAAAATTGCTATTGTGGCGACTGGGTTTTACATGAAGTACTGCCGCTGACAAGTTGCGATTTCTGCTCTCAGATTCTCAGTGTTAACAAGCGTTCAATCGAAGTTTTCTTCTTTTTTTTTTTGGTTGTTTCTATTTAGAATGCGCGGAAATCTGCTGATATATCGAAAAATGTCCATTTCTCGTCTTTTTTGGAGCGACCGATGGAGACTTCATGGAGAAATACGGCGTCACGCTAACGTGACAACATACATATTTATGACAAATGACCGGTGTGAGGATTCGTGTAGATCAGCCGACTTCAGCATGTTTTAAATGACATACAAGTATAACAGTGTATCTTCAGTGGACTTCGGATCGCTAAAATTCCCATGAAAGAGGGTGCATCACTCGGAATATGGATGATATCCACACGATTTGAGGTATATGTTTGTAGTTACGTCGAGTAGTCCTCCATGAAGGTTGATCAATTGTTTTTTAAAAGATGACAACCAGAGGCGAGATTTCTCCTCGGGATATTGCTCATAAGATAACATTCTTTGAAATCCTTGCATGTTTCATTTGTCTGAAACGTTTGTTGTTGAGAACATTAGATGTAAACATCGCCAAATTATGCAATATCTGATTTTTGAGCTTCGTTCGCGAATTGTCCCTATAAAAAGTAGAGGCAGACCCGCAGAGATTTTTACATATTTATAAACTAGAATATTATAACCAGCTAGATGGGTAGTTTCAGTTCCAGAATCGGGGTACTTTTGGAGAAATTCAGTTAAACGTTTTCCCTGTTTTACCCGACAACAAAATTGACCGAAACTGTACCGAGATGAATATTCTAGTGGTGTGTTCACATTCACTCCCAGGGAAAATTGAATAAATCAATGTGAAGACGAATGATGTTACTATGTATGGTAGAAGTGCCAATTTGTAATGTTGTATTTAGCTTGAGAGAGAGAAATAATCATTTTTTTTTTGCGACGTTTTTGTGAGAAAATGAGGCCCCAGGCCTTGAACAAGTAGCCGTTGTTACCATGGCAACAAGAGTGCTGCGACCTTTAAAAAGGGCATTTTTGTGCATCCCCTTGAGTGCCTAACTGCATGCAAAATTTGAAGGGGGGTTGAAAATTTTCATTTCCTAAGATGTTTGATTCTTACAGAGACTTGTTCTTAATCCTGTAACACCTAAGAGTGACTGACATGTAATTTCTCCACACATTAGACTCATCCCTGAGTCAAACATTAGGGTCACATGGATATCGTAAATGATCACCAACTGAAAAAGCTCTTCATTGTTTAAATGATTCTTCCTTGTCGGCACAATTGTATAGTGAACAGCATGGAAAATATTCATAATTATGTTAGGGTATGAAAGATTAAGTCAAGTTATACGAACTTTGATGGCCACCTTTGAATAGTGCGATGGTGCTATCATTCAGCCGAAATTCCATTTTGGATAAATCGTTTATATTTATATTACTATTGTCATTATTATTATTTATATTAGTGATATTACTTTGTAATCATCATCATTATTGCAGTTGTTATCATAGCTGCTTTTGTTGTTTCGGATGTTGATTGTTTATATTGTGGCTAACACCGTCTTTATCATCGTTATTATTTTTTTGGTCTAAATAGCTAGTATTCCCTCGGTCTCATGAGCAAAAAAACTTATTTGCATACTGAAACAAAAATTAAAAGCATGGAACTTACGGCAACCGTAACAACAGAGTCTAAAAAACGAAAGTCCGTCATTGTTTTGCAGGTACTTATTCAGGAGACTGGGGAAAGGCGTATTGCGGCTCTGGGTGCTGTGCATGAGTCTTACGACGGTCATGAAATGCCTAGCCGGTATAGTGGAACAGTCGGTTACCACATAGACGAGGGCAAAATATTTGAAACTGGCTCCCATGAGCAGGGAAGAGATGTCGAAGGTATGGGTTACTCTGAAGATAGGTGTACGATATCTGCCACAAGGCTCTGTTGGCGCTTGGAAACATAATCAAAGTCTTACCGTCCTTCTAAGGGCGACCTTACGACGGTAGGTTTCTGTTTTCCAAAAGAAAAAGATTCAGAAATTTTCGTTTGTAAACGTTGTAGAGATCACTTTAAAATTGTCATAGACTCCTCGAGATGATTATTCTGACGTGCATGAGGTAAATGGGAAATGTATTGTAGTTGTGTGACCAAGATAGAATGTTGAACGAAGTTGCTTTAAAATCCATGTGCCTGGAGTGTGAAACTGAAAAAACCCTGAATCCTTCGATCGTGGGGGGTTTTAACCCTCACCTTCTGCTTGCCGATGAAATGGTTTACAGAGAGCGCATTAGAGGCCAAAGAATAACGAGATTCATATCAACAAATGCTTGACGCTGCTAGGATCATTTATATCGTCAACACTTCTTGTACAAATACAGTAAGGGAGATTAAACTTTTTTTCGAATGAACGAAGAGGTAGGTCATTAATCAAGACCGAACAACAAGGAAAAAAGTCCAATTTCACACCCGGGTGTTACGCGGTTGGTTGCCTCATGTTTGGTTTATTTTGTTATCTTTTCTCTATGTAATTAATGTTTTCTGTTGATAACTTAGGAGCCATGGCTTACCGCGGCGATCTCATCGCCTGTGAAGTTGATTTTAGGGGAGTTCCCGAGGGAAAAGTCTCTGTGTTGTTTTTCTTGAATGGTATAAAAATACCGCGTTCTTCAGTGGAGTATACCGAGAGATAAACTATTTCCCTTCGTTTCATTGGGATTTGAGGGCATTACAGTGCTCACCAAGGTATGTTCAAGTTTGTGTAATTTTAATGTTTGCGAACATTTACAAACTATCCAACCTTTTACCAAAAGGCTGTGCCCTGATTGCTTTAAGGCAAGAACAGGCAAAGAGCGCGTCGTCATCTAATTTTATTTCAAACACATCTGTATTCCACAATTGTGGAATTTAAAGTCTCTAGTTGACAACTTTGATCATCGCTGTCCTAAATTTTTGTCTTTTTCATTTTTAAATTTGAGACGTTTGATTTTTGCACGTTTTAGATGTGCGATCCTGACAGAGACCATTTTAGTAGAGTAACAAATGAAGACCTTCAGAATGAAATTGGAGATCTGCGACGTGATTTCAGGATCAACTTACCGAGCAAAGGAGGATGTTAATGTCAGAAATGAGAGATTAAGTACTGCGTCTGAAGGAAGTAAAGGATAAAGAAGAACAAGAAGAAGATACTAAGAGGCTGGACGGAGGAAAGCAAAGAAGATTTTCATCTCCTCAGTAGTTGTTCGAGAACATTTATTCAGCTTAGGCACAATCCAAATTTGTGTGAATCCCTGTACCTTTCTTAAACTTCCTCTAGTCTCGAATGAAGATAGCGGCAGAAGATATTTGTTTATCTTATACTTAGATTAATATTTCGTCCGAATGTAAGCGCGAGGCGAGCACGAAGGGCGAGTCACACGCGAGGAGAGAACTTTACATCTGTGCAACTAATGCGTATGTGATCCCGGTGAACAAAATGATCCTCAAGTTTGAACTGCAACGGACCCGGGACATTTCAAATTGATCGGCGCATAAGATCATATAGGGGGTATTTACGTAGACTATAGTTGGCGAAGTCCGTTATACCAGTCGAAAAAAAAATCAGCCGCAGAACTCTGGGAGTGAGGTGAAGCCTGCTGATTTTTTTTTTTTTTTTTTTTTTTTCACCCCCGAAATTGACTTCGGCGTTTCTGTCACAGTCTGATACGTGTCAATTAGAGAGGAAAAAGAAAGGGCGACTGTACACTTTTGAAAAAATTGTATAGAGATAGTAAGGAGAAATTATTTCTTGGTCACCCATGGGAATTAAAGGTTCCAGATTGGTTTTCTCTCTTACCTTATAATTCTTGGAATAAATGGGCTTAAATTTGTTTTTCGTGGAGAGGTGTTGATCTTCATAATTTGCAATAGTAAACCTTGTAGAATGCAGTAAACTCGCCAATCTTTGTCTCCTTGTCGAGGTTTAGCCTTATTTAAAGTTATTTTTGAACTTGAAAATATCTGGTTTTATAAAAGATGAGGATGTTCTTTAGCATTTGCAAAGAGTAGTTTTATGAGAAGATGAATTGTACTCGCATTCTGACTGGTTATTGCCTATGATCTACTGAAGGACAGACGCATAGAAGACCTATAGGTAGATTACTAGCAAGATCATCTAGGAGCCCTTCGGTTTACCCTGGAAGATGATGATCAGTTCCTTGGCCCCCACATCGCAAGTTTACCCCCTCCCCGACGAGTTTGCGACGACTAACACGAGTTTGCTCCCAACTGCTTTTAAAAGTCCTTTGTTCTTGGCTAAAAATATTCTTCGTAATCAGGCATGTTGTGTAAGTTCCAGAGGAAAGACCCACGTTATCTTACAATGTTGGAGATTTCACTGCCCTCAGTAGATCACAATCTTGCGCATATGCTAATGAAATGTTGGAAACGGAAAGATACCGATTCCTCTTCTATGCGAATAAACCTCCCAAAATTCAACAATTTACCCACGTGCGGCGTCACTGAGAAAAAAATACAGCCGGTATTCCAAAGATATCTTGTTTGCTCTTGTTTAATTTTGCCCTGTTCTCACCGCGCCTTCTTTCACAAGTTTCCGCCCAATTAAAAAAGTTCATATCATAAAAACCTTGCCGGTCCGACGAAGAAATATCTATTTTGTTAATTGTTTGTGCGCACTACTAAAATAAAACGTGATCAACTTGGCTATTTTCTAAGACTACGGCTTCCTGAGGAATAAATTTTTTTTAACCTAACAAATAACAAAAAGGAAAAGAGCTGCATTAAAAAAATATTTGTTAATGAAAATAGTCGAAAGTACTCATTACAATCAAAATGGATTTGTAGGATAAAGATCTGTGTTTGATGCGGTGTAGACCACCAAGGATAGTTTGGGAATGACAAATAGCTCTGGAATCTTGGTTGCTATAGATTTTGAAAAAGCATATGAATCTGTTACCCATGATTTTCTATTTAAAGTTTCAGAAAAATTTAACTTTGGATCATATTTCTTGCACTGGATAAGAACCTTTTATACAGATATGTCAAGATGTACTATGAATAACGGTTTCAGTACAAATTCTCTTTTGTACAAAGCATAGGGTTCGTCGTGATCTCTCGCATCTTGTTTTTTTATCTTAGGCCTGAGAATTCACGCGTGTCAAGTTAGACAAGATAGCAATATAGAAGGAATAAGAATTTAACTGCCTTCGCTGTTGATATAGCCTGTTTTTCAAATATATGCGTGCTCTTATGTGCGTCTAGAGGCATATTTGAGATTTTCTGGTAAACAATGTTAAAAAAAAAAAAAAAAATCTTGAAGCAGCGGTGAAAGGATACTTATCTCAAGCATGTGAAGAATTCACTTCCAAAGTGAGGCTTGCTGCAAATTGACCAATCACCGTCGAGATTTTTGTGCACTTCAGCCTTGATCTGCTTACGTATATGCGTTAATTTTTGTAGTCACTCATTGTAAACGGGTTGAGGAAAGAAAACTAGAAGCCAATCGATTCTTCGTTACAGCTACTATTTTGTAGAACTCTATTCCAGCATATAATCCATAGGGATTTTCACGCGGCTTGCATAGGGAGATAATGGCCGACCCTGGGAATTGTGAGAAGTAAGTAATGATTGTCAATGTTTTGATTGAATTATTTCGTCACAGCGAGTTCTCATTTGCGGCTAACGTTATGTCTTGAACTTAGAAGAGATTGTTGGTTGTGTGGAAAATCACAGATTAAATGGGTTTCCCATTCGGAGTTGATTCGACTCAGCTCTGTTCTGTTATCGTGTAGTAGACTTGAGGTGTTGAATATTGCGGAAAAACTCTATGCAAACGTACTTTCACTAAGATTGACTTGGAAATGAGTTACCACATAAGAAAGAAAACTTTGTTGAGGTCTTATATTCTTTTAAAATTAGTTCTCATAAAGAAATCCTGGCCTTAGTTCTAAACGCGTTTTTTCTTTCGGTCCTGATTTAGCGAAGGTGGTTTTAAAACATGTTTGAGCAAAATTTCCGCTTTGCCCCTCACTCATTATGCACACTGAGAAGAAACAAGATACAATAGCAACGCTGTTATTGATTTCCTGTGGGACTACGGCTCTGTTTGTGGTTTTTGATTCGTTCCTTTTATCACGTTCTCTTGAGTGGCTCACAAATTAAATTCTGTGACGATGTTATTTTAACAAAGCGATGAAGTTGTTTTCGTAATCAATAGTAGTTGTTTTTTATTTATTTATTTTTATAAGAGGATCATTGCATTTTAGTTGCAACAGAAACTGTAGAAGTCACTTTGAACACACTGCTTTATTGAATTCAACAGCTCCGTTTATATAGAGATGCGTGAGAGTCTAGAACATCTAATGCATAAATCAGCTAGCATAGCCTGCAGGAATGCCCTTATCGTGAACGCTTCGGCTTGTGTGTTTCTTGGCCCGCGGGAAAGAAAATCTTGAGCAGCGCTAGTTAGCGAGAGGTCTGTGGTGATAATGTTTGACTAAGCGCACCACTCAAGCATAGCAAAATAAACAAAAAAAGGATCAATATCAGCAGTTGGGAACAGACTTTTTTTATAAAACTACCGTATAATATAATCTTTCAAGTAACTTTTAATCCCAAAATCAAAGTAGCGAGATCAAAGTAGCAAAATCAAAGAGCGAGATTCTGTACATTAAGTGGTAAATTATGGCATAAAGTGGCGTTGTTTGTAATACTCCTAATCCGTGGAACCTGTATCAAGCGCCATTCCCGGTGAGTGACCGCTAAATACAGGTTCGACCGTACACTTTACTACAGCATTAGTTATATTTGCTAGTGCGAAACGGTCTAATGGTCGTATCATTTACCGAAACTTAGATAACTTTGCTGAAAACATTTTTAATATTTAGTTCCTTGACTTCGCGTGGCGCGCTAACATTCTTGTTTTGGCTGACTTTTCCAGACTCGCGCAACGGACTTCGCCGAAAAGGGGGGCCTGCTCGCAGTTCACTTGTTGAAACTTTTTTCTCGGTTTATCATACAGCAAGATATTAGAAACAATACTTAGTCTCTTGTGTGCAGATATTGCGGATGAGATACCAGGATTTCTTCAGTTTCGAAAACATAAAATCTTCACAAAATCATACTGACATTTTTGTACATTTTTAAACACGGCAATGTTTTTCTAAGGCTCGTAGTTACGTGCATTCAGACGTTTTTGGAAGTTTTATTATTTGTTGTTCTATAAAGCCTGGTTTTCACTAGCGACGCAAGCATAAGCGCAAGCACAAATGTAGGCATAACAGCCCTTATTTCACCATGAAAACGACCTCGATGCAAGCATACAAACAAGTGCATGCCTTTTCTTTTACTAATGCTTGTGCTTGTCGACGTTCGTTTCCACTTGGTATATTTTACTTATGAGTGCGTTTGTGCTCACGCTTGGACTTAATAATTATAATAATAAAAATAATATTTATTATTTGTAACGCGCATTTTACATGTGCATATGATCAAATGCGCGATAAAATAAATATAATAAAAATAAATAGAAATATAAATGTTAGATAAAAATTAAATACTCGGCCCTGCATCAAAATATACAAAACGATAAAATAATATAAATAATATAGAACAAAAATTTAAAACTTGAATAAAAGCTATAAAACTAAATATCAATTCAGCAAAATGGTTTGAACCCGGCGGTGACATGTAATTGTGTAGTTTAATCGTCCGGGTAAGTGTAGTCCTGAGAAGGACTGTTGTCGGTAGTGGTGTCTTAGTAGTCACTCCTTAGTAGTCACCACTACCGACAACAGTCCTTCTTAGGACTACACTCGCCCGGACAATCAAACTACACTATTACATAAATATCAATTATGATATGCTACATTGAAATAGTATGTCTTCAATAGAGATTTAAATTTAATGAAGTTATATTTGCATCTCTTATTGAACTAGACCCTGTGAGCAGGGTAACTGGGATACCTGGATGGTACTGGATCCTTGGAGTCAAGTGTAGTGATATTACGGGTGTCGGACTGGTATACTGAAATAGTGAGCTCAAGTCTGGCCAAGGACATACACCTATTTCAAAACATAGGCATGCTATGCATGCAAGAGTTATTTTTTGTAGGGTGGGTGGATTACTTGAAACATTGTAAGTGGTCTACATTATTACAAAAGGAAAGAAGAATATTAACGCGGAAAATTTTGAAATTAATTCTCAATTTAACAGGCAACCAATGTAAAGAACGTAAAACTGGTGTTATATGACACAATCTAGGAACAATGCAAACTAACCTGGATGCTGTATTTGGAACTCTTTGCAGCTTATTTAAATGAGTATCGGGCACTCCCAAAAGAAGGCTATTACAATAATCCATTCCTCCCATAACTAATGCATGAATTAATATTTCCGCAGATTCTCTAGAAAGATATTTCCTAATGCGCCTTAAATTATGTAAAAAGGAAAATGCTGCATTACATGTCTTATTAATGTGTAGTGAGATTCATGTTCGTATCGAACATATGCTTGCGTCGCTAATGAAAACCAGGCTTTACGCCGTTGGTAACTAGAATACTTGAGTGCTGATTTCATGGTGTAAATTGTGCTTTAGATTTGATTCACTTGAGGAAATGGAGCTGTCAGTATTTCCTGAAGAACCAGTGGTAGCAGTTGACTGTGAGCCTGTGCCTTCCGAGCCTACGAGGAGGCCATCACCAGAACTTGATTTCGAGACTTTCGAAGTAACATGCGTTGATCAGGATCAGGTCGAGGGGGAAATTCCTGCTGGTTTTGGTATGTATGATCACAAAGAGTCTTACAGGGATTGGTGGCCTTTATGATAACGTTCCTTGATTCATTATTGAACTACCTGTTCCAGAATTTTGTAGATGCAGTCAGTTTGGTTTGTCTTGAATATGAAAGATATTATCTAAACGATTGGGTTGGACTGGTGACGAGGATAATCAACAAATCGGCTGTTTTGCCTCCGCCTCAGCAAATATATAATGTACAGTTTGACAACTGTTGCAATTATTTTTCGGACTAAGCGTATTAGTTGCGATGTTGACTCGTCTGTGTCTGTCCTCTGATAGATGATAAGAATAACTAATCCAAATGCGTGTACGATTACGCGTATTCCAACTTATAGGTAAACAATGGCGATAAAATTTGGTTAAAACAAAAACAAAAAAATAAACATCAGCGATATACGCAGGCGCTTTTACTTTATGTGTCGCCTTTTTTTCGTTCTACCACATTTTGACGTCACTCATGATCAACCTTTGAAAAAAATGTAACAAAATTTGATATAAATTTCCTTCCTATCACCTATTTATAGAACCAGAGGACGAGCACGTGGGTATTGATGCTTCCAATCAACAATCTCAACATGAAAGTAAGTGAAAGAGGGCGTCAAGGGAGACGCAAACACAAGACGCAAATAAACAGACTCCTAAAACATTGGTGTGATTTACTGAGTCAACGTGCATTTATTTCGTTTATTCAAAGTTTATTCCTTCCCCGAAGACTGTTCATCACACGAGGAACGAGGGCTACATTGAGAGGGTGGTGAAATTCAAACTTACTTCTTTTGTCGGTGGTTTTTTAAATTGAAAAATGCCCATACTTGTGAATCATTCTTGTGTGTGTCTGATTGTTTTACAGAGATAGAGAAGCATTTGGATGATGTTCTGCGTGTGGGTGATTTCGATGCGATTGATCAAACAGTGACTCCAAAAACCCTGGCAAGGTGTAAAACTAACACCTTAATCAAATCTTTCCAGGTTGGTCTTTTAACTTCATCTTTACCTATTTTACCGGCATAATTTACTTAGGGCTGTTTAGCCAGATCAAGTTACAAAATTGATCCTAATCACATAGATTTTGTTTCACTTCTCCATATGATTAGTTCGTCATGCGCATACCGCTCTCTCTACTAATTAGCGTCAAAACTACAACCAATTGTTTCTTGTTCACTGTCTGAGAGTGTACTTGTAACCTTGAAGTATCACTGGCTTGCAGTTATATCTTGTTTTCTTTCTCATTGGTCATCGAGGTTTCAGTGTACTAATTTGCAAAGGACAATTGAAAAACTCTCCCGCCTTGTTCAACAACTGAGGCTAACAAGAAATCAGAAACAATATTATTGATTTTTACGAGCCATTTGATGAAAAAACGAAGTCTTCATTTCTTTTTTTTAACTCAGGTCAACAAAGCACTGCGAGATTTAGCAGATGGTGCAAACCCGGAGAAAGACGATATAGAACATCTTGAAAAATCTATGTGCGAGTTCACAGCAGCCTTGATAGATCCTCTTAAAGCCGACGCCGATACCAGAAATACATTTCAAAGTTGTTTTGATGATGTGGTGGACAAGGCAATTGACACGAAGCAGAAGAAGGTACTACACGAGTGATAAAAAGGTTTCCAATCAATACTTTATTAAGACGATTCTAGTGGGAATGCTGTCGCCCATCTGAACACACAGGTGCCCTTACCTTTACGTGCTATATACGTAAGGAAAGAAGAGAGACAGCAATGTCCCCACCAATAACCACCGGTAAGGAGGCTTTGTGTGATATTGCAAAGGGGAATATATATTTTTAAGATTTATGCACACAATATTACGGTATACTTAGTGCCAATTCAATGTACAAGACATCATTTTTATGTCTTTCCATTTTTTTTTACAAAGAAGCAAGTTAAAGTTATATTCTGGTGAATTTACTGAATGATGTAACGCCAAACTGAATGATTTAAAGACACTGAACATAACCACAGCTGGGTGCCATAGCCGATCCGGCCAGAAATTAGTTTTCGGCTTAAATTGTATTAGTAATTTCTAAGAAATTTTTAACACCCTTGCTTTAGCAGTTCTATTCTGTTGTAGATCACAGTCGTGAAGTTAAAATGTGGCAAGAGCAAAGAGGTGGCACATGACGCGCGGCCGGGTGTATCACTGATATGTCGCGAAAATTGCTTTGAATTAAATGAAGCCAAACTTTGTTAATGGTGACGTCCCCTATGAGGCTCTCCTCTGATAAGTAATAAGCAAAAACTAGTCCAAATTCAGCTCATTGCGTAAAATAATGTATCGACGATTTTTTTCGCAGTTCATCTCTCACCCAGTGGTGTATAACTTGCTCAACTCCAGATGGTACCAATCCTATTTTCACGTAAGAAAAGAATCATGGCGGACACCTCAACGCTGGCGATACTTTTTTCTCAACCTCTGGACAGTGTTTGACATCGTATTTTTCCCCTTTCTCTTTGTTATTTTCTTCGTCGTGCATTTAATAAAACAGGCCTTGAGGAGAAAAAGAGGTTTGTAATTTAGCATTACATGGTAATGCGTCTTTAGCAAGCTCTTAGGTATTCAAGAGGTTTGAGCCTGGAGGAGGAGAGGGGGAGGCGCGGAGGGTGATGGTTTTTTGTATTTTATTCCTAACTCCATAAATCTAGGTTACCATGCAAGCTGAGTCCTCTCAACTTAAACAATACAGGAGTCCTGGCTAAAACTATGCGTGAGGTGCGGGTCACATGTTTCTTCCCCGACGCGTGAAACGCGCTTCGTGCTTGCCTCGTGCTTGCCACCATTCGCCTGAAAAAGACCAAAAAAAACGCCTGTTCTACAGGCTACATCGTTCAAGGAGTGTTTACAGGCCTGGTATTTGTTCCCACCTGATCATAACAGTCTTAAGAGTGGTTGAGATCGTTCTAAACAAGTCTTGAGATAAGATACGAGCAGCTACTGGAGAGTTGTTGTGGTGCATGGTATCAGTTGTTACAACTTTCCTTTATTGATCAGTGGTTTATTCGTTTAGCTTATGATGCTTTCCTTGATAATTTTTCAGAAACTGAAATATGTTTTGTTTTGACACTGGGCAAAGATAGCTCAAAAGAAGAATTTGATCTGATTAAAAGGACAATAAACTACATTGTCCGTGAATATGGCTGCCACTTTGCCAAATACTGTGTTGTTTTACATGAAGACCACAAAATGATCGGTAACATCAACTTTAAAGAGAGGTGCTCTACTGAGGCTGAACTTCGAGCGAGGATTGACGCGTTACAGCTGCCAAGCTCTACCAGTTCACTCTGTGAAGATCTTATGGCCACCCGAAGTGCATTCACAAACCAAACGCATAGGAAGGAGGCCAGAAAGGTGAGGTATACGTGCGCGCAACCGTTTTCTGAAGCGCTGCCGAGTTTTGTCACTTAACTAGTTCCCATGGGCTCATTTTGCAGTCATGAGCTGGCTATCAGGCCTTGGTAAGTTATACTTACCAATTCGTATTCAGTATTGATTGATTTTGACGACCGCACGCTACAGTTGATTTATGTTTAAAACATAAACACAAATCATGTTTTACGGTTAGTGTCATGGCTCATAGGCCGGCCTCTTGCATTTGCCCTCTTGCCGGAGAACTCAGGCTTTCCCTTCTTGCTTCAAGCTTTTAAACTCGCTGTCACGAATAATCGAGCGTCTATGCTCTTTCTCTATTAGATATCAGCATGAGAAAACATGTCCCACTATTTTCCCTTGATATAGGTAAAAAGCAATAACCATTTCACGATTGCTATCAGCTCGTGATCTTCCCGCCTTTCTTAAAAACTATTGCGTAAAACTTCTCGGGAATTTTGTTCAGGACCTCCGGTACGTCCCTTTTAAATAATTTGCTTTTTAAGTCCCAAAAGTTTCAGACTTTTAGCCGGATGTTTGTGCTTTTTGGGGTATCTTTTCTCTTAGTATTCTCCCGTAAACTCTGAACCAAAACGTGGTTACTCTCCCCTGACTTGTCCGCGGTTTTGTTCTGCTGTGCTTTCGCGACTCTCTTGTCAATCGATTTAATTTCAACTTTCTGCAATCCATTTCACTTTTTGCATTCAGTTTCAACTCTCTACACAGTTTGGGATTAACTGACGCCTTCTCAGCCAATCAGCATGCTGAAATTTTTTGCATACATATTAATGATTTAGTTCTTTATCTTATCTGGCATTTCATGTACATAACAGCTACAGTTATCAGTTGTGTGAACAGATTAATTAAACGGCGAGATAAACAAAAATATTATAACTCATGCAATAGATCCATTAAGATACTCACAAGCACATCAATAATATTTTTGCGAATCCAATCCTTGTTGCTGAAAGTGTATATTTTTTTTTATTGAAAAATTCAAGCAGCTCTTTTATTAGAAGGCCATTGTTGTTCAAGATTGATAAGTTTGGGCTCATATTTGATAAGACTTGTAAATTTGTTTTTGAGAATCAAATGGAATAAATATCACCTTATTTTTAATTTTATGTTTATATTAGGCGGTCGTTCTCTTTCTTAATGACTCGTTACGCATGGTTAATGCTAACATTGAGAGACTACCGCCCCTAAAGGAGATAAAGGATATGCAAGTTAACATCTTTCCCGTCGGTATCGGGGAGTATGCCAAATTATCAGAGTTAAATAAGATGGCAACTAAAGATGGCACAGCACGTCACTTTGGAGAATACGAGTCACACGAGACGTTGGGGACAGCTGTCATACAAGGTAACATGGGGAGGTTTAAAATTTCGGTATAAAAAAAACCCTCCTTACAATGATTATTCTCCTATTTGGTTTGGGAAAAAATAAGAAAGCATTGCATGCAGTTGTTACGATTTGAATTGAGGAAGGTTTTTAACGGTGCTATATTTTTAAAAGCTTTTACTTTTCTCCCCACTTCTCGGAAGTGTGACTGGCTTTATAATTGATATGTTTTACTTTCTTACAGGTATCGAGGGAAAGAACATCTATGGTGAGGACGAGCTATTTTTGGTAGCTAGATTTCCAGACCGTTAAACTTTTTTTTTTCTAATAATTTTCGCTAGACCGCCAGTGCTTCCAGAGTTTTCTTTTGATGGTCTCCATTCTAAGCTAGCGTCTCAATCATTGTCCTACCGAGTATAACTATGATTATTATGATGCCTTCCAGAGAAATACAAGGATTACTTTACGACTCCTTATTTCGTCTTTTTCCGCGACACGCTGAGCTATCTCATCCTCCTCGTTCTGCACTTCGCCATTTGCCTGTCCCCTTCAGCTATTGCGTTCAGTCGACTAGAATGGGCCATTTCAGTTTTCTTCCTGGGACGCGTTTTGATGGAGGTGGATCAGTTTATTAGTACTGAAAAGGCTGGTATGAAAGAACGTATGCTGTGGAGGAGGAAAAGGGATGGCTCCAGCTACCAAGTATGTTCACATGAGGGTCAACAAGAGACAAATGAGGCAGAAGAAGACAATATCTTGCTAAAGAACCTTAGTAATTATTTTAGGTATTTCAACTTTTTATTGTCTGTTTGTTAGTGACAATAGTAGATTCTCATTCATGTTGGGGGCATGATCAGCTAGGAAGGATGGGGAAAAAGAGTTAACAGCTTGAAGAAGGTAACAAAATGAGTCACTGTTCTCTGCCTGGTACACTGGTAATTTTTTTAGAGCTGTATCATTAGTCATGAGGTGACATTGTTCACTGCCTGGGTTCATTGACAGCAACCGGTGTTTATTGTTTTAGTACACCGTTAATTAGCTCGTACCCTTTGTAACAAAAAATAGTGGTACATGTAACTGATTATCTTGCTTTATAATTATGCAAGGTCTAGCTGTTCACGGATTACATCAAATAAATGGTCTTCTAGTACTGATATCTACTACTTTTTTAGTGACCGTTGGAATGTGCTTGACTTCATCATTCTTGTTTTCTACCTGATTACCTTCATACTACGCATAATTACATGGAGGAACTCCACGGACGTGTCAGAAAACTCACTCTTGGCTGTCTCAGAGTATTTCTATGGATTTATCGCCATGTTTCTCACACTGAGAGCCTTTGGTCAAGTCATAGAGCGCGTGCGGGGAATGGGTGCAATACAAATCGCTTTGTTCTTTGTTATCTGGGATGTAATGGCGATATTTTGGCAGTTTTTGGCCATGATTCTGGCATTTTCTCTGGCTATGACCAAGATATATGTTGCTGAGAAGGCCTATACCTTAGGAAAAGATTCCGCGAAGGATTTGTGAGTACATAGTACGATCTTTCTAAAGTATCGAAACCGTGAGTGACAGATTCTAACTTGCTGGGCTCATTCATTTGTTACTCTTTTTAGTAGTGGGGTGGAAGAGTTTTCCTTTTACATTATGGAGGGGGACCTCATGTATGTCTAGGCACCCAATGTAGGAAACAGTGGGCTAAAAGCTAATCAAGTGAGATTTAGCTTTTTGGATGGGAAGCCTGACAGGAGGGTAAAACTACTCAGATCAGAATGTCAAACGTTGCATGAAAGGCCGATTTTTTACAGTCTTTATGAATACTCACGCAGGCCTCAATAAATAACTCACTTCGTCGCGCCACTAATACAAAAGGTTTGAAATCAAATTATGATAGCCTGATGCCCATTAATCATTGCTGGGTCAGTCGTAGTCATAAATTGTGGAGTCAGTGACTTGCTATACACCGTGAATTTTTGTGCTACGGGAGGTATAAGTTCAGGAATGTTAGTTAACAATTCCTCTGGAAAAACACAACTGTTTAAAATAAAATTCGGAGGGGGGGGGAGTGGTTATGTAACTTTGACAATTTCTGTTGGTTAAACCGTAAACCATGACAACAGTTTCTTTAACCATTCATTTTCTCCTATCATTTTTAGGGCATGCAGTGATTCCGGGCTAATTTGGTAAGAATAAAATTATAGCTTTTTTCTACTCTAATTTTAACTTTGTACTCTGATGTCTAAAATATACCTGGTTACACGAAATTTTTGCTAACCTTGAATTCGCGCTTTCAATATGCCGCGATTATTTAAAAAGTTTCAAGCGTGAAATTCTATACCTGAGGGGTCGGAAAGGTTAATTAAGGTCTCCCGAGAGGAAAAGAAGTGAGAAAAAATCATTCTGATGTGTTGAAATAAGTACTGATGTTCAACACTGAGCTTTATCAGCTTCATCATGAAAATTTGCAGGAAAGACACTCTTTCCTTTCAGGGCAGCAGATTTACTAGAACAAGAAGCAGAGCTGCGAGTGAAGAAACCCTCTTTGCCCCCCATCCCTCTCGCGGCTTCGCGTCCGATTAATTAACGATACTTCGCCTCTTAAACCTGCAAAAAGGCCGACGCAGCTATTAGTTTACCTTCTTAAGAGGTACATTACGGTTTCACCTTCTGGAAAAATCCAGACTTCATCGTTGCTATTTCTTTTTACCAGTGGTATCCCTCAGGTTTAAGGTTATCTTGTGATATTTTGGATGCCAACCCTTAAAGGTGTTGGTGTTTGACTTGATGGAGCTGACCAGGAATCTTGAAAGCAAATTTTGAAATCGATCACCCATGTAGGAGTAGTGACACGATGGCCTCCAGGACACAGACGTTTGAAAACATTTATGGCGGTCATAACAATCTCAATTTCAAAAATTGAATGGTTTTCGATCTAACTCGTTGCTTATGTTCTTCAGTTGGTGGAACATGGCGACACACCTTGGTTGGTCTTTATTGGGTTTAGCTGACCTGGATAGGTTGAACTCCGTCGACGATTCATCCGTTTCTCTTATTCATGTGCTGTACAGCTTCTTCTTAATCATGGCAGTTATTCTTCTCGTGAACATGATGATTGCGTTGCTCTCAAACACCTATCAGCAGGTTCAGGTACTTAACAGTCTCTCTGCCTTCGCTGATGTATATTAATTCTGTTCATAATCCAGAGGTAAGAAAATATGAGAAGTTCTCGACTGTAAACTCGGTAGGAAGTTTTTGGCGTAAGATACAAAATACATTTTTCGCAAAGTTCAAAAGATTCTATGATCATTTATAAATGTACTTTTAGCCGACTGACGCTTTAGACGAAAATGATGGCGAATATTGTCCCTCTGGTATGATATGCCAAAATATTCTTCAGCTATAGGAGTGTCGCCTCTTGTTTTTATTAACTGGTACTTCCTTAGAAGCTGTTAAGTCCCTCGCATTCCTCTATTATCAGGATAATTCACTGCAGGAGTGGTCTTTCAAGAGAGCCATTACTGTAAGAACTTACAGCACCTATCATCCGATACCAGTGCCCTTCAACCTTTTGTCTGTCCCCCTGATAGTACTCTGGCACCTATGTTGGCGCGACACTCCTGCTTCGCTCAAGGGCGGACGGGTAAGCTGCGGCCTTGCCAATTAGTTTTGTGAGTTTTAACAAGCTGCTGTTGTTTAAAGTTATCGTTCACGTATGCTCAGTGATTTTACTTCACTTTCGATGTGGCCTTCTTTGATTCGACAGAGAGTAGCTCTGAATAAAGTGGTGAAGAAACTAGAAAGGATGTACTTCGAGAAATACGGTTATGAATTTCCCCTCACAGGTGGGTGATATGCTAGATTAGTAGATAGCCCCAGAAATCTATGATATGATCATAAAAAAGAATATGGCGGAAAGAGATGTTTTTCTGCTAAACCTTGCTTTGCTATGATCAAAGTAATAGTTCTAAAGAAGTTTATACCATGACAGACAAGAAATAAAAAATCACAAATTAAGAATTCCAGTAATGATAATCTATTTGTAACGAGGGGTATCGTAATGATTTTGCGGACTAGATTCAGAAGAGGCCAATTTAATATTTGGTTCCTCGCTTTGTTTTAGAGGGGAAAAAGATAGATCACTTGGTGCAAGAAAATGAGGGAGGACGAAAATTGGCCAATCAGATAGTTCGGCAAGTATTCCGACCGCGTGGAAATAAGGAGGAAAAACTTGCGTCTGGCCACAGAGTGAGTGTTTTTCAGGCCCACATTCTTATGTTAATTAAACAGGAAGTTTCCCTACCATATACTATGGATCCTGCTCCATCAGAAGACACCTTTTTAATCTTTTTAATTTGCATTTTAACCTTTTCCCTCCAACAAAAATTTAAATGTTCGATTGAGAAAATCTTTCAAGAAACGTTGTGCTGTAGTTTCCATGTTCCCTTGAAAAAAAACCGAACTTGTTTTGTAGTGACATAGAAAAGCTAATCTCAAATGCTGCTCCAGGAAGTACAAAAAAAGTCAACAAAATTCGCTCTCAATGCGCGATACGAAAAGTAATGGGAGGGTTATAGCTTGAATAAAACCCCTTCTAGCTTGCTGGTATGTCGGCTGACAATGTCCCTGGTTGAGAGATTGTCTTTAAGTTTTCTCCTTGAAGCTTTGGTTCTTGGCCAAATATTCATTTTTGGACAATGTCTCAGCCGCAGACATTTTCAGGTGACATACCAGCCGCCTGAAGGGGTCCATCGTGTTACTGAAGTTTTGTTTGTTTGTCATTTAAAGGCGTGGTATGATTCTCCGGGAATTGCTGTCGATGGCTGTCTCCTAACTTACGTGGGACCAGATGTCTGCGACATATGCAAAAGTGGAAATCGTAAGAATATTCACAGTGCCAAGTTCAAGTCTCCCTTTGCACCAGAGACACCAAGATTTGAGGTGTGCTTTTGATTTATAGAAAATTATTTGCGAGCAAAAAATTAAATTCATATACTTCCTGCTTCATGATAGATTCTCTGAAGATGCAACATAATTACATCGCCTTTTTACCCTCTTCCCTTAAATAACCTCCCTCTTGTAGGCGCTGGTATTCTTTTCTATTTTGTAGCTCTACAGATACTAATTTTTCTAAGAATGAACTTAACGGTGCCTCCATAATAGAAAGACCAGACCGGTTCCTGAAAAACATCTTTATGTTCCTCTTGTGGTATCCTATTTTCACCTTTGCTTTCATGGTAACGTGTCAACATGGATCTCGTTTGGGCACCTAACCCTGTAACACCTAAGAGCGACTATGATGCCAATGTCTCTGCACTTTATTATCCCTGAGTCGAACATTAGGGTCACTTGGATAAAGTAAATGATCACCAACCGAAAAAGCTCTTCATTGTTTAAATAATTCTTCCTTGTCAGCACAATTGTATAGAGAACAGCATGGAGAATATTCATAATGATGTTAGGGTATGAAAGGTTAAATTTATCTCCTTTATATCCTTAGATTAGTGTGTTGCTTTGTAATCATCATCATTATTGCAGTTGTTATTATGGCTGCTTTTGTTGTTTATATGATCATTATTTCGGATGTTGATTGTTTATATTATGGCTAACATCGTCTTTATCATCGTCATTATTTTGCTTTGGTCTAAGAAACTAGTATTCCCTCGGTCTCATGAGCAAAAAAACTCATTTGCATACTGAAACAAAAATTAAAAGCATGGGACTTATGGCAACCGTAACAACAAAGTCTAAAAAAGAAAATACCGTCATTGTTTTGCAGGTACTTATTCAGGAGACTGGGGAGAGGCGTATTGTGGCACTGGGTGCTGTGCATGAGTCGTACGACTGTCACAAAATGCCTGGCTGGTATAGTGGAACAGTCGGTTACCATATAGACGATGGCAAAATATTTGAAACTGGCTTCCATGAGCTGGGAAGAGAAGTCGAAGGTATGGGTTACTCTGACGATAGGTGTACGATATCTGCCACAAGGATCTGTTGGCGCTTGGAAACATAATCAAAGTCTTACCGTCCTTCTGAGGGCGACCTTACGACAGTAGGTTTCTGTTTTCCAAAAGAAAAAGATTCAGAAATTTTCGTTTGTGAACGTTATAGGGATCACTTTAAAATCGTTATAGACTCCTCGAGATGATTATTCTGACGTGCATGAGATAAATGGGAAATGTATTGTAGCTGTGTGATCAATAGAATGTTGAACGTAGTTACTGTAAAATCCATGTGCCTAGAGTGTGAAACTGAAAAAACCCTGAATCCCTCGATCGTGGAGGGTTCCAACCCTCGCCTTTTGCTTGCCGATCAAATGGTCTACAGAGAACTCATTTAAGGCCAAAGAAAAACAAGATTCATATCAACAAATGCTTGACGCTACTAGGATCATTTATATCGTCAACACTCCTTGTATAAATACAGTGAGGGAGATTAAACTTTGTCTTCGAATGAACGAAGAGGTAAGTAATTGATCAAGACCGAACAACAAGGAAAAAAAGTCCAATTTCACATCCTGGTGTTACACGGTTGGTTGCCTCATGTTTAGCTTATTTTGTTATCTTTTTGCTATTTACTTAATGTTTTCTGTTGATAACTTAGGAGCCATGGCTTACCGCGGTGATCTCATCGCTTGTGAAGTTGTTTTTAGTAGAGTCCCCGAGGGGAAAGTCTCTGTGTTGTTCTCCTTGAACGGTAGAGAAGTAGCGCGTTCTTCAGTGGAGTATACTGAGGGAAATAAACTATTTCCCTTCGTTTCATTGGGATTTGAAGGCATTACAGTGCTCACCAAGGTATGTTCGAAAGAGGGAGGGGGGAGCGGGGAGGGTAATGGGCTAGAAATTGAATCTATAAATGGTTTGGTTTCATCAGTAATCTGCCAACATATCATACCTCGGCACCCTCCTCCAGCTACAATTAATCGAGGGGTTGTTCCTGTGACCAAATTGAAAGCATGTGGAGAGGGAGCTCTCTCTACGGCAGCTGTCAGGCTCTAGAATCAAAGGAAGAACTTTGTCGTATCCAGTGTTAAAAATACCACAAAACGTTTTGCTCAAGTCTATGTGATTTTAATATTTGCGAACATTTACAACTTTCTACCAAAATTCAGTGCCCTGATTGCTCTTAATTAAGGTACGAACAAGGAAATAGCGTGTCGATCTAATTTTTAAAATTCTATATCAGGCATATCTGTATTCCATAATTGTGGACATTAGAGTTTATACTTCACACCTGTGATCATGGCTGCCCTAAATTTTCGTACTTTTCTTTTTCAAAGTTGAGACGTTTGATTTCCACACGTTTTAGATGTGCCATCGTGACAGAGACCGTTTTAGTAGAGTAACAAACGAAGACATTCAGGAGGAAATTGGAGATCTGCGACGTGATTTTCAGAATCAACTTACCGAGCAAAGGAGGATGTTGTCAGAAATGAGAAATTTAGTACTGCGTTTGAAGGAAGTAAAGGATAAAGATGAACAAGAAGAAGATACTAAGAAACTGGCGGTTGACTTAAGTTAAATCCACAAGTAATGGCTTACGCGCAGTTTGATGGATCGGATCAATGGATGGATGAAAATAAAGAAGATTTTCATTACCTTAGTAGTCGTTCAAGAACATTCATTTAGTTTAAACGCAATGTAAATCGTATGCAATCACTCTTTTTGATGAGTGAAAAAGATGCAAACTGTATTTCTATAGCTGTAATATTTCTTGTTGAATTAAAATTGTAGTCTGCTTACTTACAAAGATTGTAGGAGTTATGAAAACCATTCATTACCATCTATAAGTTACGTTTGCTTAATCATATAGCTCCTAGTCAATAACCATAGTCTCCCCTTCAACTGTTATATATGTTCCTGCAAATTATTTGGGAGAATGTAGAGTTAAATCAAGGTATCACTTTGCTTGTGAGTTAATCTGTTATCTGTTTGCTGAGGAACAAATAAATATTATAGAAAGAAAAGTATTTCTGCTAATCTTTTCACACTGCACTGTTTTCTTTCGTTAAGTGTCATCATTTTAAGATGATACAGAACGCATTCAGATCAGTTTGCAGAAATTACAAATATTCTACTCAACAACCATATATTCTTAGGTTTGTTTCGGAATTTATAATACTTGTACGCATTCAATCAATGCGTGAATGTAAATACTGTTGATAGGCGATAGATTAGTCGTTCAATCAAACTGCCTTGAAGCGTGCTCACTCGAGAAATATCCTATTAAGAGAAAGCCAAATTGTTCGGTATTTGTCTCGAGCGTAGGAAAAGCTCACGACGTAATAGGGGGCACTATAAGACACAGCCAATCAAAATACGGTCAAATGAATTCAATATATATCGATAATGTCAAAATGATTACTGCAAGGACTGATAAAGTACGAAAATATAATGATTCCATCATTCGAGTGGTCAATACCAATGGTTTTCATACCAGTTTTCCTCAGGTGTAACAACGACAGGATCAGGAAGTTAGGAGACTTATATGTCAACCGTCCTCACAGCCTCTTACGCATATGTTGTCTTCCCGTGCCTTTCTTAATATTCCTTTCTTAATATTTCTTGGAGGTGTCGAAATAAGATAGCGGCAGGAAAGATTTTTTGCGTTAATATTTCTAGTACACGCGAACACGAGGCGGGTAGAAAGGGGGAGTCATAAACGATGTGAGAACGTTACATCTGTGCAACTAATGTGTATGTGATCCCGGTGAACAAAATGATCCTCAAGTCCGGACTTAAATAAAAAAATACCGTATTGGAGGATGGAAAATGACTCCTAAACATATTTCAACGCCAAATTTGGCCTATCTATGGCTTTCTGGTCTGCTGCCGTTAATATATCTCAACGAAACTTTTAACTTTTTACTATGGGATTTTTTTAGAAATCTTGGTACCTTTGTTTTTAAATCCAATACCGCTTTAATGCCAAATTAGTCAAAATATATCTCAGTTTCAGACCATTCAGTTTAATTATGTCTCTTAGAGAAGACAAACTGGCCGCGGAATTTGGGGTCAGCCTAGGTTCCCGCGGGATCTGATCTCGCTCTTTCCCATAGAACGCGTGGAAAATCGAAGGGGAAACAACTCAGTCCGCGCTAACATTTTTTTTTTTTGGCATTGTTTTCTTTTTCCAGTCCCGCAACGGACTTCGCCAAAACGTAGGTACTTCTCGTAGTCAGGAGCAAGAGATTTTTCGTAATCTCTCGGTCAGGAGCCATGTTATTACTTACGCAAGTATTGTATCCTCACCCTCCCTTACCCAGGTTGTTTGGTTCTTAAAGGGAATGGAGAGAAGACTGGGTTCAAGTCACCATCGTGACCACGTCGCGCATGCAAAGTATGGCTGCAGGAAGGAACTCCTTTATTTGGCATGAAAATTCGTAACAAAATTCCCCTTCTGCATCACTTGGCTATTAAATCACCTTTATCAATTTATGGCTCCTTCCGCTGAATATCATGGGAATGGTTACAGAGGCTTAAGAACACAAAAACGGCGAATGTTTATATTCAAGCACTCACCGCTGGCGGACACAGAAACATCTGAAAGTCGTCCAGGCATCAAGGTAGTTCTTGAGGCTGTTCCGCTTTGCACGGTGTTTTCTATTTCATTTTAATTCTTAAGACGTTTCTCCTGTTCAATTTATTTTTATGCGTGGTAAGGAACTGTTTAATTCACTTTAAATTGTTTTAGTACCTGAACGCGGGAAATTTAAATATTTTCCTAAGATCTCTGCACTCGTATGCAGCTAAATAGCTGCATCTGTGGTAGAAAGCGTAGATAGCTGTATGCTGTATCTGCGGTATACTATCCATTGTAGACAGCCTACAAGCTGGGGTGAATCTAGTGAAAGAGAATGTCAATAGATGTATCCATTTCATAGCAGATAGTTGTATGTAGGTAGTGTGGACTCTGCTGATTTAACAATCGGTTTATGCTTAGTGAAGATTTATCAAGATACGGATGCAAACTGAAAGTTTGGAGAACAGGAGAGAAGCATAAGAGTTGCTTGAGGCAAACTTAAGAGCATCTCTAACCTTCAGAGTGCTCTCCAAACTTCCCAATTACATCCATATCTTGATATATGTGCATAGCATGAACCAATTGTTCTATAGCACAGATGAAACAGAGTGTGCATGAAAAAAGAGATTTATTACAATTGTGTTGGGTTTACTAGGGTGCATTGAAGTGGACCACTAAGTAACTGATGTTTGCACTTTTGTAAAAGAAAAAGAACATTTGCTTCCAAAAGATTCCTATGAAAATCTCATTCAATGGATAGCAAAAAAACCTTCCAATTTATCTGAAATAAACTCAGACACATAAATTTTATGGTCTATTGCCATTGATGTCTGAGTAATTGTTGGCAAATTTAAACTGCTGTGGTGCTGCTTTAGTCACCTCCACAGCCTAACCAAAGATATTTTGCCGTCTCCACTCTTTGAGTGGGTGAAAAGGTATTGAATGAAGAAAAAAATATATTTTGAAAGCTTTCATGCAGGCATACCAACAAGGGCTTCTTAATCAGTACTTTCAATGAGACCTGGCACCCGCTAGAGCTCCGGCGAATATTCTGGTGTTAATTACCAGGTATACTTTGGAAGCTTTCGAGCAAACTCACAAAGTGAGACCTAAAACACCTCCAGATCTTCATGAGTTCTTTCAGTTGACTTTTAACTTTCTGAATGGGTTTTGATAAAAATATTGATATTGTTTTATCATATATTCTGGCATACATTTCATACATCTCTGGCCAAAAAAAGATTTTGAGTTTCCAAGAACATATTAACTCAAATTTTGCTAAACAATTACTACATGTCCTTTCAGAGGACTTTTTATGTGAAACTCAGGGAGCAAGCTTGTATGCCAGCAAATGGAAGATTTTGATCAGAATTAAAATGATCAGTTTAACAATTGTTACAAAGGAGATGAATATTTAATGATCATATATGGAAGTTTAACATTGAAAACTCTGTTTGAAGCCAGTTTTGTCTGAATGGAAGTAATGGGATTGCAAGAAGGAAATTGTTTTTATATTTCTCTCTGGTAGGTGCTTTACCAAGGTGGTCATCTTCTTCAAATCTTATTTAAAGCAATTCTTAATTGGTTGTTGCCTACCTTGTTTATAGGGAATTGACACATGAGGGGGTGAAGTCCTGGGTAGCTAAAAGTGAATTAAAATTTTGTTGGGTTTACCAGCTTATCGACTAACTTTCAGCTAAGTCAACTAACTTTGACTTCTTGACTGACTTACGAACTGACTACATGACTAACACCAAATGACTGATTGCAAGATACAAAAGCTATCAACTTTGTTTGCCAACTGTTTCCCAGAAATGGAAAATTGTTATTGGATTGTTATCAAACTTTTTGTGTAAACTGATGTTGCAAGCAAAACTTTAAAAAAATGTTTTTTTTTTTTTTTTTTCAGGGTGTATGCCAACCTTCAACCATGTTTATTGATGATTGCTTTACTGTGGATTCCAATCATTGGCTGACGCAGGTAAACAAGACCCTGGTAAACAAAGTTTTGGTTTGTTTGTAGTTTACCTTAGATGTGAAGTGCATAGGAAGATGAGAAATTTTTTTCTTATACTTTTTCTTATTCCTAAATGCATAGAACATATATTTAGAAACAGTCTTAACCAGCTCTCTCCTTCCCTGCTGAATAAAAAATTTCCAAATAAAGTATGCACATATTATAGTTGAACCCAAATCAATTTTCACCTTTCAAATGGTTCAAAGGATCTCTAAAAAGGTTGTTTAAATTAAACACAAACATAAACACACTGTAACTGCATTTTAATACCCAGATTAGAGCAAAACACTTTTTAACTGGTAATTTCTTTGTTTCCTACCTAAGATAGAAAGATACTCTTCCTGTTATATCTTGGCACTTGTGGTAGTGCAGGTAATTTCATGAGATAAGTAGACTTATACAAAATAAAATACAGTGTTGTTAAGTCCAAGAAAAAGACCTAAAAAATATACAGGATAAAACTGTTTTGGATACTGGACTGTCTTTAAGTGCTGATGAGGTGTTTGACTTTGTACAAATGATGGAAGACATAAAGCTGGCCACTCAAGAGGTTGGTGTCACCCCAAAAAATCTCTTCCTTAGTCTTGATCTGGGATGCAAAGACTTGGACCTCAAAAAAGAGGATAAAACTGTTTTGGACAATGGACTACTTCTAAGCGCTGATGAGGTGTTTGACTTTGTACAAGAGATGGGAGACATAAAGCTGGCCTCTCAGGAGGCTGGTGTCACCCAAAATATCTCTTCCTTAGTCTTGATCTTTGATGCATAGACTTGGTCATTAAAAAAGAGGATAAAACTGTTTTGGACAATGGACTGTCTTTATGTGCTGATCGGGTGTTTGACTTTGTACAAGAGATGGGAGGCATAAAGCTGACCCTTCAAGGGGTTGGTGTCACCCAAAAAAAACTCTTCCTTAGTCTTGATCTGTGATGCAAAGACTTAGTCCCCAAGAAAGAGGATAAAACTATTTTGGACAATAGAC